GTTATCGGCCGATTCGAACGAAAGTATCTGACCACGACGCCAGTCAATCAACGGATTGTAACGGCGGAGCCAGTTGTGTCCTAGAACCAGGGGATACGGAGCATCCAGCTTGGTGATGAAGCACTTGAGATAGAACTCATCACCGGACGGAAAGCGGAGGATGATGTCCGCGGCGCGACGTGAGCCATGTACGAACTGATCCATCGAGGAGTTTGAGTGGTACCGGCGGAATTTCATAAAATTGCAGAGTGGGATGGGAGTATACAAAATCAGAGTCGAGAAAGCAGTCCCGTACAACCCGAATCCACCAGGGTAGTTGAGGTCGATAGGCGAAGAAGTCGTCGAAGAGAGAATGGAGACCGAGAACGAGAGAGCATGAGGGTCGAAAAGAGCTGCAGCGTTAAGTCGGACCTCAGGCACTCCTGCTGTGAGGCTGCAGTCGACTGGAGGAGGCGAGGTCAGAGGACTGCTCAAGCTTTTCCCGCAGACGAGTCAGTGGCAGGCTGACCGGCGGAAGCAAAGCGAGCACGATGACGGGTTTTGGGGCAGTCAAACGCCTTATGCTCTGCGCTGCCGCACACCATACAAAGGTTCTCTTTGATACGGCGGGCACGCTCCTCAGGCTTGAGCTTCCCGTTAGCATCAAGCTTGTCAGCGTAGGGACGAGGAGGGGCAGAGGACGACGAGGGTGTCGACGAAGAAGGCGTAGACGAGGTAGACGAGGTCTTGTTCGACTTTCCTTTGGCAGAGGAAGAGGTCGACGAAGACGAGGGGTTCCCGGCGGACTGAGACGAAGACTTGGTAGACGATGAGTTGTTGGAGGAAGTCGACGCCGGGGTGGCTAGAGAGCCAGACGAGAGAGAAGGAGTGGACGATGAACCCTTGCCTAGAGAGCTTGGCTTGGAGTGCCTTGAGGAGAGCCTGGTCACGACGGATCTCCTCTTGGCGTTCGTGCCAACGTTCGTCCATGTCGAAGACGACGTTCTGTAACTCCAAGAGCGAAGAGGGGCGAGCACGTTTAGCCAACTCGTTCTTGATACGATCTGAGAGGCCGGCGTAGTACTGGGAACGCAAGGGAGCTTCGTTCCAGGTGATGCGTGCTGCGAGCTCGTTGAAGTCGAGAGTGTACTGGTAGGCACGACCAGTCATCGTTAACGCACGAATTTTACGTTCAGCGTCACCGACGGGGTTCTTGGGTCCAAAGACGAGAGTGAGCTCCTCGATGAAGAGGTCCAGATCATCGAACCAAGGTAACGTCGCGTCCGTAGTGCGAGCAACGTTGATACGAGACGCGAAGTACGTGTACGCCTTGCCCTTGAGGTAGGAGAGGGCAGTGGCCACGGCGTCCTTTGGATGCTTGAAGGTATGCTTGTAACGTCCAAGGTAGACCGTGAGCTGAGCGATGAAGGCGTCGAGTAGTTCGGGATCAGAACCATCGAAAGGATCGGGAGCACGAAGTCGAGGGGCACTGGCGGATTGGGATTCGAGTTTTTCGAGGGCTTTGGCGAGAGTGCGAGAACTGTCGCGCTGGCCATCGATGAGGTGCTCGAGGATGCGTCGAAGGACTCCATTGAAGTCGTCTTCGGGTTCCTCTTGCCCTTGGCTACCTGAATCACCACCCGGCGGGCCTCCAGGAGGGCCACCAGATCCACCACCACCACCACCATGAGGGGGAGGGTCACCACCACCGTTGCCAGACGGCGGGGGACCACCAGAGCCACCACCTGAGGGGCCACCACCACCACCTCCACCGCCCAGAGGGTCCGGCGGATCGCCAGGAGGTGTGCGTGGGGAGCCAAAAGGTAGGGGGTCTTCGTCTCCTTTGCCAGAGGAGGGTAGACCGTCACGAAGAGGGTTGGGAGCTCGACCTGAGGACCCGCCGGGGTTGCCAAACCCGGAGGTTGAGGTGCGAACTCCACCAAACGCACTAGTGGTCAGACCACCAGGGAAACCGAGATGAGAGGCCACGAACTCTTCTTCACGACCGTCGTTGGACATATCGCGTCGAATGGTAGGTTGGCCGAGGAACGAGGTTGGAGGTTGCCAAATCGCAGTAGCTGCTACGGCGGGAGATGTCGCGTTCGAGACGTAGAAGGGGTCGATGAGAGACTCGTGTCGAGAGTGAGAGAGGGGTCGACCGAGCGTAGAGGCAGAAGGAGGAGGGCGAGGACGGCGTAGGTTGTAAGGATTGCCCTGTTCTGTCATAAGTGTAGACGAGGAACGACGTGACGAAGTCGTATCCGGAATCTACTGTCAGGGTCGGATACAGAGAGAGAGAGAGAGATGGACGTAGGAGGGCGGAGGGTAGCCTTGGTCTCACGTTATAAGAACGTGTACCCTTCGTCACGGCTCCAAAGGCTGGCTAGGCCGAAGGACCAGACGGAAACGCCTTCCGGCGGAACGACGAGAGTGGAGGACGACTGGAGCTAAGGCTCGACGGTCGAAGGCGATGAGAGAAAGAGTTTTACTGAGGAACTTAGACTAAGAGATTCGATGCGTATGAACCTAGTCGAGATTCCGGATGAGGTACCTACTACAAATTGAGATAGTACTTATAGTAAATACCGGCGGGGAATCTACGGGCGAATCGAGACGAAATGACGAAGTCCAAGAGGGAAAGAACAAGTCGAGAACTAGAACAAGAAAGGCGAAATCGTACACAAGAAAATCTAGAGTACTCGAGAACGACTACAACGACCAATCGTAAACCGGCGGATGAAATCCAAGCAAGAACGTTCGTACGGAAAGGTCATCTGAGCAAACTCGGAAATCAAGTGTAAAGAAATAGAAGCAAGAAGAACAACGACACGGCGGAATAAGAAATAGAAGATTGACAGAATAAAAACATACTTCGAATACACAATACGAGACCCGTTTGACAGCTTGCCAAGCGCGCGTCTAAAGTCCACAGGATTATCCGGCGGATCCGAGAGTTCCGGCACAGCCGCGAGGCCGCGCGCGCGCGCGCCAGATCACGTGATTGCAAGTCACGAGAAACTGGACAATTTCTGGCTCGAATTCTCGTGACCTTTCCCACGCTCCGAGAACGTCGCGCGTCAAAGTCAAGAGAGGAACCGGCGGGCTGAAATGAAGTGGGTGTAACGAATAAAATGTATAAGAGAAAATATAAATAATAATATCGAATGGTGTTGAGGGTGAAGGTAGAGTGTAGTTGTACGTATCGAGACCCGGCGGTTGCACGAGCCCTGACAGGGCCAGTCCTTCTCAACAGTCTTCATGGTTGGGATATCCCCATCGCGGATGCGGGAAATAATCTAGGTATGTAACGTTTTGAGTAAACTTTGTTGAGAAACTGGAGAGAGGGCGAATGCCCATATCGATTGAGTAAGTAACTACGAATCTATTTATACACAATCGAGTAGTCTACGGATATATAGATGTAGAATTATCGAGGAAATAAGAAGATATTTAATCTCCTAAATCCGTCCGATGAATAAGCGCCCGGCACAATTACCGAGTGCCGAGCTGATTCCCAACACTCCCCCTCAGAGTTGGCAATCGGGGTGAGTCGAGAATATCTACCTAAATCTACCTAAGTGCTTCTTTACTAAGTAAGGCAGTCCGTGACGAAGTTAATACATGCTGTTAATGTCCTACAGCACAAACACGAGTCCGTTAGCGCTTCCAAACCTCTTGGTTGGTCCGTGACCACAACCATAGCCAAAAAAAAATCGAATCGTGGGTGACGGGGAGCTCTCCCGGCTCTACCAAGTCCAACCCTAGTCCGAATACATCCGTGATGGGCAGCGTACCAGCTTACACCACATCTACGCGATGCCAAAAATAGTCGTGCCTCCCATGAGCGCACGTAACCCGGCCTATGGCCCAAAAATAGGATCCCGGCTTGATCCACTGGCGGAATGCGCGCCTAACGCGGCGGTGATGGTCGTAAGACGTCCGAGCCGTGCTCCAAGGACGAATGATGGGCGGTGTTGATAATGAGGGAATAAATGAGTGACGATGCCGGCGTCGGTGACGGAATGATGAACAAGATCAATAACCCTCCTCCCCCTCTCCCCAGAATGACATAGTCTCCCCCTATACTCTAGCTCCAGCCTCGGATGGTGATAACGAGCCCAATAGGGATGGCGATGGGCGTAGCCGATGCACGACAGTCAAGGCGTCATCGGGGTTGATAGCGGCGAGCGAGATAAGATAAGATAGCGAGGGTGAAGACGAGATAACAGTTCTACAACATGCTCAGCAATGAGCGGGGCTCATAACCTGTTGAGAAACTGGAGAGAGGGCGAATGCCCATATCGATTGAGTAAGTAACTACGAACTATTTATACACAATCGAGTAGTCTACGGATATATAGATGTAGAATTATCGAGGAAATAAGAAGATATTTAATCTCCTAAATCCGTCCGATGAATAAGCGCCCGGCACAATTACCGAGTGCCGAGCTGATTCCCAACAAACTTTTCAAAATGCCTTTCACGATTCTCTCACCTCCTGAAATTCCTCTCGGGTCGTATATCGCCCTGATTCGCGATTACCTGGACGCTGTCGCCTGGACCTTGACATTGTGACTGCTGGTCTGGTGGTCATTTAAAACGACTTAAATGGGTCTATAACAGAAGCTACGGACCGTAACTGCACAAATTTTAAGAGTTGGCGGCCTGCTTGGACTTGGAGAATGGGGAACACGACGCGACGCGATGAATCTCATGAAGAAATTGATTGATGGCGGGGTTTGAAGACGGCATGATGCCGAGGTCAGACGTTCGAACCCGAACAACGCCATTTGTAGATCCTACAGCGACTACACTACTCCATGGAGGGCTTTCCGCGAAAGTTTAACCAGTTCCGATCCTTGCATGATTAAAACTCTGACATGTACTTGAGAAACGCGTCAAGAGCCGTAACTACCATGCACCAAAGGAACGATTCGAAGTCGTGACACCAAAGGCGGCCGATCCGTCCATCCGTGTATTGCAACAACTCGATCGCCGTGAATGGTATGGTCCCCGTCCGCTTAATGCCTGCCTTCTCGGGGGAGAGATCTCCGGGCGTCATGATCACGGCCAAGTCGAAGTCGTTTAGAACAGCCCTGAATGCCACCACCGCTCTGACGGAGCATGAGGTTCGTGTTGCTGATATCGCCGTGCGCGATCCCGAGTTGCCATAGTAGAAAATGACCTAGGAAAGAGAAAAGAAAGTGGCCGTTAGCTGGAGGGAGTGAGGAGCTGCTACTAGCACGCGGACTTACATCGAATGAGCTGCCAGATCGCACGAAAGTAGTCTTGCGGGTTTGTGAGCTCGTAACTGGGCAAGCAGCCTGATTCGGAGTTCGGTGGCGAAATGGGTTTCTTCCCGTGCGGGAATAGCTTCCCACTGGCTGAACGCCTGCCTTTGAGCATCCAGTGATTGTGGACATTGTCGTCAAGCGTGTGGGGGACTGTCTCCCCGTCGACTTCGATGTTCAACTGGAACTTGCCGTTGCCACGCATCCGATCGTCGAAGCGCTGGAAGATGAGCATCATGGCGACAAGGAGAGGAAGCTGGCTAACGATGTCGATAGGATGGGTTCTGATGCATCCCTGTGGGTCGTACCAGTGGAGGGATAGTTTATTGCCTACAAAATAATTAATTAGGAGCTGTGGTAATTGAAAGGGATATGATGCACCTACCTTCGAGAAGGATGACGATCGCATAGGTGCGGTTCCACCTCGCTCGCATTAGCTCGAGCCCGTAGAACCCAGCCTGGGTTTCCGCCTTTAGATGGAGGGGGAGAGGTTCTGTTTCCCGCTCTACCTTGGGCTTCTTGGGAGCGCTGCCGGACTGTTCCTCTGTCCGCGATCGTTTCACTCCTCCAGAGGATTTGACTGAAGTTTGACTACGAGAGCTCTCCCTTGAGGAGGAAGGCGGTGGGGCTGTCGGACGTGCGGTGGGTTTAGTCGCGGGGACGCTCGCCCTGTCGAAAGCTAGACAAAAAGGGGATTAGCTGAAAGCCAGCCGAGGCACAGAAAGAACGCACTTCGTTCATCGGCACAGTTAACTGTGAATTGGTATTCCTTGTCCGTCAGGCGCGCAAGCTTATCGTCGGACATTACGTCTCCTCCTCTCTTGATCTCCCAACAGTCGAGGGGATCCCTCCAATGGGCCTTCTTTCCCTCTAATCCGTTTGGGGAGGTTCTGTGCGATTTGGCAAGTTGTGCGAACCAGACGTCAAAGGGCTCGTCGCGCCGGCCTACGATTCGTCCCAGCGCTTGTATCGTCATGTGGATCAGGTCCGGCTTTCCCTTCCACTTGTAGTAATCGGTGCATTCAGATAGGGACTTGGATTCACATTCCAAAATGCCAGGATCGTTCACGACCATAATCGATTCGTCGTCTCCGGGGACGTGTTTCAAAGTCCCAATAACCTTCCCTCGGCCATACTTCAAGATGTTGTTGAGAGCGGATGCCAGGTGAGGACAGAAGTCCTTTTCGGTGGAACACTTCATTCTGAAAGGCAAAGCTCAGAGTCAGCAATGAGTAGATGGGAAAGCAAGTATTGCATGACATACGCCTTAAGAATACTTTCTTTCATGGCGCTGGCCTCGACCGTGTCGCTGTGTTGCAAAACCTGACCGATTCGTCCAGGAAAGCGTTGAAGTCCTTTGAGGCATCAAACTTGGGCGTGTCCGTCCGCATCATCCTCAGAAACGCAGTAAGCATCTCCTTGAACTGGACATACAGAGCGCTCTCCAAGTCTTCTTCAATAAGTTGGATCACGGATGGAGCATTCCTATACACCGTTGAATAATCGACTACGAACCTTTCATCTGGCGGCAACTGCGCATTCAATATACCCTCTCGGGTGGGAGTAACATTGGTTGTCTGCAGCTTGACACCCTTGTTCATAGTTAACGCCGCGTCCCCCATGTTGAGGTGGTGGTTGTGGAACAAGAGTCATTATCTCCGAAAACCCCCAACGGCTCCTTGGCACGTGATCGCGTTCTGTCGGACTTGTATTTTCTTGTCAAGGACTTTGGGCGCTTCAGCCTTTTCCCTGCATTCCGAAGGCTAGAGCACTGAGAGATGCCTTAAAATTAGAAGTAAATCACGTCGAAGGCTGAAACTCTGAACACAAGGCTTCACGAAACGATGGCACCCGAAAGGATTAATTCTTCATAAATACTGAGTTCAAGGCCGTTACTGGAGAAGAAATGACAGCGTAAATACAGATATTGAAGGATACGACTCTTAGGCACTCAAGCATGCTCAAAGTCATAGGACTTGCTCTGGTTAATCAATTTAGGGGGCTGTAGCGAGCGATCAAAGGCCGGGGGAGGCTTACCATCTGGTCTTGGCCATCGTGAGTGACGGCCGACTTCATCTCAACAGCCACCACAAGTTGGCTGGGATCATTCGCTCGAGTCGGGCGTCCAAAGGGTGCGGCCGATGAACTGTCATTGAACGTCGATCGAAGTGTAGCGCGAGCGTTGAGTCTGAAATAAAAGACTGTGGTGAGAGTCGGAAAGTATTCAAAGCACAAGCCAATCACTCACGACGCGAGGACGCTGTTCGAATACACTGACAGGAGTAAGAGTCTCGCCCGCTGCGGCTACCAGAGCATAGAACAAAAGGAGCTTACACTTCGCAAGGCAAGTGTAGATCGCCAGCCAGATCACTTGGATGTGAATCACATTAGATCTTTGCAGGATTCCGAGCAGAATCTAGAGAATGCTCACTTGAATCTGGATCAACGCTGTACTAGAATAGGACGTGAGTTTTATATGACATCGGGGAGCTGAATACCACATACCATGATGACCATCACTACGGCCGAAAGGCTTAACAGCCCGTTAGGAACTCGTTCCTATCTATCAGTCGACGTTGAGATCTCACCTTGGAAGCAACCCAGTACCTGTGGTAGGAGTAAGAAAAGATACCCACAACTCAAAGCAACCAAGAGCACTTACACAACGTGTATTGTACCAGGCGGTCAATCAAGCGAACAGACCTAGGAGGCCAGTGAGGAGGGCATGTAGAAATGGTAAGATTTACCGCACCTAGCCAGAACCTTTTCGCGCTGACCATACAAATAGAATAGCATAGACGTAGCGATCATAATGTCAATCGCTGCGCCCATCGACAACAGCGAGACCGCCATCCATCCGACGCTTCTTCGATACTCTTCAAGACCTGGGGCACTGACGGCGCGGGCTGCAAGGACAATACTCCCGATGAAACGCACGAGGGCGATGAGGAAAGTAACAGCCCCAACACAGTTCCATGGTCTTGGAAGTACCCTAAACACTCGGACAGAGAAGAAGGACTAAGTAGAAAAGAAGAGATTCGTCAGTAAGGGCATACGGTGGGGGGCCTGGATAGTCGTATTTCGGAACACGCACATGGGCGAGAAAGGCAATGCCCCCACCAACAGCCGTCGACGCCCCAAGGAACGGGAAAGGGAACAGTTTATCAGGGCGACCATAATATGTTATGGTAGCCTTGTATATTTCGGCGCTGACGCAGAACGTATGGCCGAGTTCCAAAAGCCTGGAGATTGGCCTGTTACGGTGAACATATCGACCGACGAGGTGAACTTGCGTACCAAGCTAGTGCCACCTGGTGAGCTGTATCAGCGTTACTAATAGAGCGATATCTTTGAGAACGTACCAACATCCTAAGTTGCCATCTATCGTCTTTGAACTTCTGGTAATACATATGGGCCTGGAGCGTGAGAATCCCATAGAGGAAGATAGAGAACAAGGAGCCAATTTGAAGAGCTCCGACGGTGTCGTGGAGATCTGCGGTAGCCATGTCTGACTCTGGAGACCACAGCAGGGAAGACGGACAAGTAACAGCGGGGAAAGAACAAACAATTTTCCCTTCCCTCGAACGGCCATCGATTTATAAGAACTTCGGAAGCATATGGAAATGATTCAAGGCGGTAGGGATCTCCAAAATCATCCTCGAGCCCATGAATCGTTTGAGTGATCGAAGGTACATGAACCTGGCACTCGACGAAGTCTTTAACGTGATAGTAATCGATGATATTCCGCGGTTCAGCTACTCACGAAGGTTAAACGACACTTTCTCGCTACAGAGACTCTAATGCTGTAGACCACCGCTGCCAGAGAGCACATCGGACTAGTTGCGAGCGATGGGAACATTGAATGGGACCTACAGGATTAACCAGAGTTAAGAAAAGCCAATCGCAACGACGAAAGTCTCATCTTCGCATTCTCGTCGAAGCACGTGCACGAGCATCTTCCTTGATATCTGATACTCCAGAGCGTTAGGTAGATGACCCCCTGCTTCCATTCGGAAGACCTTACGACGAAGATTAGCTGTCCGAGTACGACTGCTTGACGGGTTGTCGGCAGGTACGATCTACGGAAGAACCATCAGTCAAGCAATATCACGGTCCAGCCATACCGAAGACATCACATCCCCGATTCTTCGAACAAAGGCCTGAGACTGTTCGAGTGCTACTCTCCTTCAACCGAAGAGTGACCTTAAACAATCGAAGAGGAAAGAAGGCTGTCACACTTATCACACACTGGCTATGAACGGCAGTTCTCTGTAATTTGGGGTGCGACAGTGTGTTTCCCCTTGAACACGAGGGAGCTTCCAGGTAGAGGTCGGAGGATTGCTTTATCCTTTAAAGCTTCGACCATCAAATTTCCGTCCAGCCACGATCATTTATCGGCGATAGGTTTGGAACGTCGGTCGAACGCCAGCGAACCAATTGGTGTGCCGGTGTGGTGGGCAAAGGCGGGGAACGACAGAGAGGACTTGGAAAGTATCGTCGATCGACGATGGGCAAAAGCTTGGGGAAGGGCGACGACGGAAACTGCCGCATGTAGCAGCAAAAAATAAGACCGTGTCCAGCGTCCTACCTAAACGCCAGCCGCCGTTCTCTAACCTTCTGCGCGTTGGGCGCACTGCAAGGTCGAAGCGACCATGTTTGAAGTTCATCCGAGTAACTATATTCATTCACTCTTCATAGTACTGGAAGCGCGATTCGTCAACACACCGAAATTTACACGAATCCAGTCGCAGCGGGTTCGAAGAGAGCCTCACGCCCCCCCATGTCAGGTCGCAAGAGGCCGACTCGTCGAAACGGCGATACAACTAGGAATCATCGTAGCTGGTGTATTATACACACTCTGCTAATGCTTGACTCGTGATAGTATGCATATACCTCCGACCCGTCACCCTCAACGCGACGCGCACTCCACGAGATTCAGGCTTATTAGGCGATCCCAAAATCAATCACATCACAAGTGGAATAGCGACGGCACAGACATGCCACAGTTGGCGCTCATATCAATCCGGGACGACTTGGGAGACTAGTGATCATTGATGGGACCCATCTCTAAAAATTTCATTGAAAACCGGACACCTTCCTTAAATCTACCTATGCCCTCTACAGTGGCCTCGACTGGCCGTCACTGAAGCGCAGCGATGATTCGATAGTGGGGAGCGTTGCGAAGGTGTGGCAGGAATCGAGTTCTGCTTGAGCCTTTTCTCGGAGGTGGAGGATGAATCTTGTTGCGAGGACTGGACATGAAGCGCCTTGGAGGCTTGGGTGGCTTGATGTCAGTGTACCATACTGCCCGGGACATAGAGAGTGGATCTTTTCCCGTCCTGTTTCGCGAAGTTTGATCAGAAACTCGCCTCGAATGGCGAAACCTTGAAGCACTTACCGAAAGAAAGCAGACAAGTATTGATACGCCAGTCAGAACTTGTGGTGTACACGATACCGAGGTCAGGCTCGGTAGTCAATAGGAAGCAGCCGTTACTTACTGATCATCAAGAGCACGTAGCTTATTCCGTTATTTCTCAGTGTCGCTAGGAGCCCACTTTTGAGATTTCTGTACTCGGAAGTATGGATACGATATACAATGAACGCGAGAACTGGAGTGGAACGTGATTAGTGTCGTGTCCTAAAGCGTCTGCAATTGAGTGATTCAATCACCTGCAGTAGTCGACAGTGGTATTAAGAATATCCCTATCAGAAGCAGTTGTTCATCGCTGACAGGGGTGCAGTGTATCCCCGCCGGAGGGTCCGTAGCTAAGACTTGAAAGAATGTGGTGAGCTCAGATCAAGCTTTACCGGGAATTTAGAGACGAGGAAATACCTACATACGATTGACCTGAAATACCAAGCTTCGAAGAAGAAAGTAAGGGAGTATGATATCTAATGTATATGTGTTGGAATCGGTGAGTGATAGCGTCGAGGAAAAGTTTCAAAGGCGGCGTACAATAAACTGAGCCACCAGGTAGATCCCCAATGGTCGACTGAGTTTCGCCCATCCCCAGACCTGGATGTAGATGAGGGCTAGGCCCAAGAGCATCAACCTCAACAAGAGACAAGTAGAGTAAAGCCCACTCACCACTCGATAGGGCAGAGTTTAGAGTGATTACGACTGTAAATTCTGTTAGGAGGCTCGAGAAAAAACTGGAAAGAACCTACCAGTAGCCGCAATATAGTATGCACGACATTCCTGGAGTTCACCGTATAAATCTTTGAATCAATCTACTACGAGATGTTGTCGCACCTCGACTGCCAGACCGCGTAGTCGCTGGTCTAAGAGGAGACTCGCTAAGGATCCACCTCGCTCTGACAAAGTAGGAAACTCACAGTGGAAGACGAGTCCGTAATGAATGAATATTGAATATCTTGTGAGGAAGTAGAGGACTTTGACGGGCGACATCTCCTCAGACCAAACATGCTTCACCTGAGCACGGTGTGAATGCGAAGGGCCCCTCTCTGACAGTAATCGTACCTCGAGGTCAAAGGTTTGAAAGTAGTCTGCGATCTTGTGCACGTACGTCAGCTCGGCTGGCCAGTCCAATGCTATATAAACCTAACTTACCACGGCGGTCACCGTAGCGACTAACAGGAATTTAATCATGGAAATGGCAACGCGTAACTTCGAATATCTCACTTCGAATATTCTGGCAGACAGATAACCGTCAGGCGCCAGAGGTCAAAGCTTGAAAGGCCAATCAACTCACATTAAAGATCCGTAGATGATACATAGCCGACACCAGCGCTTCATGAAGCTGTGGGTCCATGGTGGAGCCTGGTTAGCCGCTTGTGACGAGGGACTACTAGGGCAGCAGTAATGTGTGCTTTAATGGGTGGTATCGCCGACTTCGATCGACGTTTAAAGGATTCCTCGCGGGCTCAGGTAGGTCTAGGGCTATGAGGTATGGCATGAGACACGGAAGATTTGAACGCACCTACGCTCCCTGGGATCACCGAAAGGTTCGAACCTTGGCAGCAGGCGAGGCTTTAAGCTTATACATCCACCCCTCCCGGAGACTTGAATGCAACCCTTCACGGTGCTGAGAATACACGTGACTGTCAAATAGCCTAGGAGGTTAGCCTTATACGTGCAGATTGGCTCACGGGCTGATTCACCATAGAGTTCATTGACAGCCCATGTCAAGTAGTCAGGCTCGGCGCTCCTATCCTGTCGGATGAGTGGACGCACATGCATACCTCGCAGTAACGGGAATCCCGGACGGAAGTTATATCAACGCTGAAAGTAGGCAATGGGAAGGATCGACGATCGTCCTTGGCGTCATTGTCACTTGCCATGCGTTCACGGAGTTTCACAGGACAGAAGTGGTGCAGTCGACACTTTTCGCAATCCTTTCGAGATCAAAGTGAGGTGAAAAGATGGTTCACGCGGGCCAAACGCTTCAAGAATCAAAGGGAAAACCAGCGATACTGAGATTCCTGAAAGTAAACAATAAATTACATTACATTACACATTACGCTGACCTGTTCCCCCGTCCTATCCTTCGTTCTTCCTTGTAGTTGGATTGCGCCTGATAACTGGTGTGTCTCGTAGCTAGTGACACTCTTCACTAGGCCCTCACTCCACACAGTCCTCAGGAACGTCGAAGTTGTTGACGTATGATGCTGCGCGGGCGTTGAGACCGAGACCACGGCTGGCAAAGACTCTCCAGAGCAAGCATCGGTTAGCACCGTCGTATCGGTTGGCGTCGGCTTGAATCCACGCGTCGCGTGCGGCGACAACTAGTCGGGAAAAGATACATGGTTAGCATTATGTCGAAAGTGAAAGCGGATTCAGTACTCACAAGTGGGGTTGCAAGGCTGCAAAGTGAGTCCGTCCATGAAGAGGTGGAGCCAGACGATGTTACCCTCGAGACCGTCGGGGTTGGTTCTAGCAGCTGGAGACCAGCCATACTGGCCGACTAGTGCGGCGTAGACGTTGTGGAGGATGTTTGCCCAAATCTCACCAATGCCTAATGAGACAATCTGAGGTTAGAAGCGTGACGCTAAGCGCGTGTTCGAAGGCACTTACGGTGCACGCTGAACTGGCCTTGCACGTTGGCATACGTCGAGGGGTTGGTAACGCTGTTGGGAAAATCAGGAACCTGGACGCCCTGGGAAGAGGAGAACTTGACTCACTTGCTGGTCGAGTACGGGAAGGATCGGATTCCACCAGGGTTGTTGAAGACATAGGCAGCGAGAACGTAGTCGTTGACTTGCTCAGACTTCTGTTGGGTCCACCTTCACGACATCATCAACATTTTTGTTCGAAGCGAGATAAGAATGGACGAGACGTACTCTGCGAGGGCGTCAGACCAGCCTTCACCCAATCCTCGCGACTCGGTAGTCTGGAGACAAGAGGCAGTTCCACCGCCTGTCAAGCGGTTAGAGATGCCATGCGCAACTTCGTGAACAATGATGTCGTTCTGCAGGGATCCGTCTCGGTTGGGCTGGACGTCCACTTGCGTCAGTACCTCGACAGGCAACAAGTGGTGGGCAATAGAAGGAAGTACTCACACTGGTCGTAGTCCAGATGTACATGCGGCACCTTCCTGATTGTCCACTAGATGCGATGTTGCCGTCAGCATCCACACGACCCGAATGCGAAAGAGGCTCCAGGCGAGACTTACTCTGGAGGAGTAGCGAAGTTGGCGTTGTTGGTACCCGAGGCGTCCTGTACACTGATGGTGACACGATCGTTGCCGACACCGCCCTTGCCGAAGTTATCTTGCTGGAAGTTGAACGCTGCCTCAGTGAAACCGTAGCGGTAGGCGAAGTCATGGATGGCGTTGACGACGTAAAAGGCGTTGGTGCGAGCTGCATCGACGTTGGAGAGGACGGCGGGGGCGAGGGTATCATCGTAGGTGTAGTCGAACACGCCGGGAGATAATTCGGAGGTGAGGCCAGTGTCCTGGTTGCCTTTGAAGGAGACGACGTTGTTGCCGCTAGAATGATCGACATTGGTTAGTGCGACGAGAAGAGAAGAGGTGGAGAATGCGACTCACGAAGTCGTGGTCGTGGTCGTTCCGTTCTCGAAGGTGTGCCACCCAAGTGGCGAAGAAGTGGTATCTTCTGGGTCGACCAGCAGTTCGAGGCCATCAGGGAACGCCTGATTTTGGATGGGTAGCACGCGATACTAAGGAATTGCCGTATCAGCGTCGATGATATGAGGACATGCGTTGAAATCTACTCACAGCAGCATCGGCGGTAAAATCGACAACCGAGAGCAGCTCTCCATTCTGTGCATCGACGAACGCTTCGTACCAGGTGTTCTGCTCGAGATTCTCGATCTGAACCGCAAACGTCAGGGAAGCAGAGCCATCTGGGCGGGCGAGGTACTCGAGACGAGTGGGATGTCCATTATATTTGCCGTCGAGTGCTTCTTCGATAGTCGGGATGACGGATTCAACTTGGATGCTTGGAGTAGGAGGGGCGACGCGGTCTATAAAGGAAAGCAGTTAGAAAAGTCATGTATGCATTTTAGTAATAAGCGACGGACTTGGGTTGACGAAGGAAGAGCCAAAGGAGACGACTTTGTTGTCCTTGAACGCGACGTTGGCGACAGCGTTGGCAAAGTTGATGCCATTCTGTCAAGATTTCATGAGATGTCAGGTAGACCTTGGGAGAGGCGCAAACGTACGCGTCGTTGGCGGAGGTAGGCGTGCCTCCTACCATTGGATGCGAATCCACTTCGATAGTCCACGGATTCACGATCGATGTTTAGCTTCTCAGCGACGAATTCTCGGGCCTCCGTTGGGAGATCGACAGGAACGAGAGGTTCAGGTTGCAAAAGGCCTTCTCCATAGGTCTATAAGATACATGTGAGTGACGATATCGAGCACAGAAGAAGACGAACTCACCTCGTAGGTGGAAGCAGGATGGAAAGCTTCAACTGGCAATTGGCGCCGACCGACTCTCACCGTGGCACGGGTGCTGATGTCAAAGTCGGCCGATGGGTTTGGCGCGGCAATAGATGGTCCGACGAGCGAAATCGCGACGAGGATGGTGGAGAGCAAGCTTTGGAGACGCGCCATGGTCGGCTCTTGAGAGTAGAAGATGGGATTCTCCTTGACTTTGAGATGCGTTTCGAGTAGCCTTTTTATATCGTGAGCCTATGTATGGAACATCCCCGTCTAGCAATGGCGATTGTCCAACGAGAGGTCGCAGCGTGGTGAGATGAGCTTCTCTATACCCAAATAGATCCTATCATGTTGGAGTGTTTCAACTTTCCACAGCAGATGGGAGTGTCCTGGCGGATGGAGACGGGTTTCGTATCAGTTTTGGGGGATTGGCCTCGCGCCCGCTGTTGGTTTCGCGCACCGTAGATGGTCAAGACATGAGGGATGCTAATGAGGCCGTCGTTCAGGAACGTAATAATAGACTGGGATTTGAAAGCCAGTCAGCAAGAAGTTCAGAATCCTTGTAGTTCGCGAGAAAAGTCGTACCTTTCCCGGGAAGCTACACACGCTCAGGCCCTCCAAGAAGGGAATGAATCTAACAAAAAGGAATTATCAGCATGCGGAGCGAGAGGATAGAATACAATACTGTAAACAAGCTGTGGATGGCAAGGGGCCCCAACGCGACGCGAATAGGCAGCGAGATCAAAGAAGGACCATATGGGGTCTGTACGACATACGAATGGCGAGTTTCCGTTTTCTGGGTTAGAACCAGTCATGAGGGCATCGGAGGACATCCCACTCAGTCATCCTGGGCGGAGATGGCGTCGAGAAGTGGTGGCGTTATTCGTGTTTCCTGAAAACCGGCTACTCCGGTCAGCTCTTCTCTGGGAACGAGACTGAGCGAGAACCAGCCGCTCCGAACAATTGAACGCCACGCATGTGCTCGCATTAGCGACCGAATATCAGCATCGAGGACGCCTTTGACAGGCCAGAGATAGTCTCTATAGTAAAGGAAGACTCACTCTAATGTTTAACTGAGAAGAAGAAACGACCTAGGGCGGCGAGTTGGCAACAAACCCAGCCGTCGGCTCGGTTGACTGTGGCTTTTCGATGAGTTCGACAGAGCCATGGCCTTGGTATCCTGGGAAGCTCAATCAGAATAGCTCTCAGAGGTATGAGAAGTGGTGTGTTCGTCGAACCTTCAGAGCCTTGTATCAGAATGTGGAGATAGAGATTGCTCAGCCGGGTGAGGGACCGTAATGCTGTGGACAAGCCAAGGCGTTTCAGCTCGCGGTTTTGTGCACCCAAAGGGGTCCAAAAGGTGTACATAGCCCTTGCGGCGTCGAGAAATGGCTTTTAAGCGGCCATCGAGGGTTCGTTGTTCTGAACTTCATGCGAGATAGTGATGGTTTGTAGCAAAGGATGATGAGTTTGGTTTCGCTTGGGTCAGACGGACGATGGACTGATGGGAACCAAACTGACAATCAGACCTGGCCTGATCACAGTAGAAGAGGCTTTTAAAGGTCAAGGATGTCAGAGAGAGATGGATATATAGGACATAAGTTTACAACGTTGGGAGCCAATTTTCGCTCAGGGTTCGAGGTCGAGACAGCATTGTGGTTTGGAATGGTTGCGACAGCGGTATAACAATGTCCGAATTTCATGATCTGAGTATAAGAAAGGGATAGTATGGACATCGTAGGTTGAAGTGGCTAGTATGGAAGGATCATGAAACTCCCGAAACGACCAAATAATCAATTGCAGAAGGAAGATTTTTTTGCGAAAAGAAAAGACGTCTCGAGGCTCGATTGACGATTCAGAACGGGGCGGTGGACAGACACGCCTTGGCAATCTCTTCGACCGAAAGTCCTGCTCTCGCTCTGGCGAGTGGAAGGTCCTCAAGTATGTTAAGCCACCACGACCCCTGGCCTGTGCTTTTGATTGAGGGAGGCGAGTTCTTTGCCTGTGTTTTCGAGATTCGGTATGGTGTCAAGGCGTCGAGAAAATATTCGCCGAGGAAGTCGTTGGGCAGCTGGACGTTCTTGTATCTGGCCATCGCGTATAAAATAATAGTGACAGCTGAGTTCTGAGTTTTTCGAGAGTCGAGTGGGGGAAAAAGTCAATGTATGAACACAAACCTCAGAGGACCTGAAGTCCAGTCCGGAAGGTCGCAACTCACCAACTCATTAGTGAAGTTCGCCAAGAATATCAACTCCTGAATCTTCGAGTACGGTTTTCCACTTCTTTTGGTCTCCAAGAAGGTGTCGTAGGCGACATTGAGCCGTCTAGAGGCGAAAAAGACCACGGTTTGAATTTGGGTGAAAGACATGGTGTTCAGGATAGTGACGACCATATTTTCAAGTTCGAGGGCGTGCGATGGAAGGCAGGGATGGATTTTTTCGCAGTCGACCGGGAATGAGGAAATAAGCTCTAAATCCAAGGTAGAAATATAGAGTTTGACGTTGCTTGGCTTCGCCCTCCTGCCTGGTCCCTGCGCAGCATTGGGTGGGTTCTCATCCTCGTTTCCCGTCTACTTCTAGCAGCGTGAGCAGACTCGGAGCTCACCATGAACATACCGCCTTAGTGATTTTTTAGACATCGTTCATCTTCGAACCAGTTCCGGCGACTCAAATATAAGTTCGTGATGTACATACAAATAGAAATGTATCAAACAGAAGAAAGGCAAAGTACACGTTCTAGCCTGGCCATATAGTCCGACTCGATCCTGTCTATCGAAGACTTCTCCAGTCCATCTCGATCCGCTTGGTAATATACTTCTCTGATGGTGTCCGAGACGTCGAGACAATGCTTCAATCGGTTCTCAAGTTTCGGATACGTCGGTTGATCGGTTTCTGTCTAGATTCCACGAGTTAACGAAAGGGATGCGCGTTTAAGGATGAAATGAGCTACTCACCCTAAGGTGAAGAAGACGGTACAGGTATTCTTGAGCGTCGAAGCTCAGCGCGACGTTGGACTTGGCGTGCAGGAATCCATACATCCATGGAATCCCGGGATGGAAATCTTGGATCAGTTGCGGTAGCTCGACTTCCGAGTATCCGTCGAGAGCCTCTGTCACGTGGAAGTCCCAATAAAATGCCGCGTATTCGAAGACCTTGTTGCGGTTGGTCATTCTCTCCCGTGTGGACCACCACCATGTCATATGTTCGACACAGCGAACTGCTAGGTAGAGGTGCGTATCGCGTGGGCTCTGGTACAGGTCAGATGTGAGAGTTGGAGAGTGGAGGTAGTCGAGCATAGTTTTGTGATGGAAGAAAATGAACCTATTTTTGGTTTTCCCGGTCGCCTGTTCCTGAGTCGGTATGTTGAGAACGGAGTGAAGATCGCAGAGGGCGATACTTGAAGTTCCGGGAGCAAAGGAAAGGAGGCCGTCGAGGAATTCTGGGCTGTTGATGTACGATGCTGGGGAGGAGATAGCCGTGATGGCGTGGAGTAGCCTCTTGAGGAGGTTACGGTCTACATCTGGTTGACGAAGGACAAGGTCGTAGAGCTCGTAGAGGTCTTGAAGCGGGCTAGACTCCTCTTGACTACGATCCCAGAGCTGTAGGTGCGCAAGAACCATGTCCAAGAGCTCTTGAGGTCTCCGGCGTGGGTTGTCAATGAATTTGATGACCGTAGCAGGGAAGATGAACTGGCCCGACGCCTTCATGACCAACAATTCCAGTGTTGGTTCTGGCGGCCACCCCTCTGGGATCGACGCTGTGGCAGGATGCCATGCGCGTATCCGCGAAAACTCGTCGCAAAAGTAGACCCTGATATCATCGCTTCCATCGTACGTTTCCAGCCTAACGTGGTAGACGACCCCTTTAAAAGAGGGTGATTGGAGAATGGTGCGAATGTCGAGTTCGGGACGACTGGCAATGATAATGCGAAACGGGAAGTTGGGGTCCAGAGCTAAATCTCGAAGTAGTGCCAGGAGGTGGGCCCGTTCATGGTGATCTCGGATTTCGTCAATCCCATCGATGAGTACCACATCGGGAGGTGTGGTGCCTATTTGTGCCTTCCCGTCTACGTCCCTCGACTTGAGCCCAATCAGAGGGGATAGCCTCTTTAACAAGGTGGTGTGCAAGGGTCCTGCATCGCCTCTCCGACTGATTTCGCCCTTCATCCAAAGTTCCAGCGGCCCAGAAATGAGTTTCTTGGCTTGAATGGCCAGCGATTTCTGGAATATAAGGGGATCTTCTCGTATAGCTCCTTCGACGTATGCCTCCAACCCCGAACCGCCTAATACGAGCTGAGAGGCCACTGTCGGTACAAATGGCCCCACTGAGTCGAGCATCCGGCCTGCGGAATACCGCCCACTCGCATTTCCCAACTTGTTGAGGAGTCCAGGGTTCCTTTCTGCTCGATTAGAGAAGAAGTACGTGGCCGCTAGTTTTCCATGCGCTTGGAGACGACGTGCGACCTCGCGCTGGATACAGGTCTTGCCACCGCCTGCAGGTCCAGAGAACCATACAACAGGTTTGTGCGAGGTACCTTCCGTGGGAGGTTGCACCACGAGATCGATAAGGTCCTCTATGACTTGCTTGCGAGTTCCAGGCTTGCATTTTGGAGCGTACGCTGCGACGGAAGATTCGTGCGTTGCAGAGACAGCCGCATGTGCGTGAAGACGTTGCAAGGGAGACCAATACTCTCTACAGGGAAGTACGTTAGCGTCTTGACAGTTCGCGGATGGACTCTAGAACGACGGTATACGCACCAGAACTGGGCGAAGGGCTTTCGTTGATGAATGTGTTCTGTGCGGAGAGGAGGGTCGCCTCATGGACGGTAAAGTTGCTCGAATGCGAAAACGACATGGAGGAAATAAGAACAAGGACCTGGGACAGTTTCGCTTCCACCAAAAGTCGATTCTGAAGGTGCTGTATTCGTCGAGGGCAGTGCACAGATGTGCTGTTCAAATCGGGTACCGAGCGGGGACCTCGTGCTCTGGCTGACATTCAAGACGGAAATAAGGAATCACGTAAGGAAGGGATTGTCATTTTAACTCTTTTCTACGCTTCATCGATAGATGGGAAATGACTCAATGAAGGTAATTCAAGTAGCTCAAGCAAAATTTGGTAATCGTACAGACAAATAGATTGAAAAGGACGAGAAGCTGGACTCATGAAGAGGGAACGTTGAACCATAACTCGTAGATTTAACCTAAACCAGGGGCAAGATACCTGTTTACAGACATTGCGAGAACCTGAGAAAGATACGAATGAGGCATGTGACAAGAGACGTGAAAATGCGACGTACCATTCGTTGAGTATCTGGCAAGTCGTTCCCGACGCGCAGCTACCTGAACCAGTCCACTGTGAAGAGTGAAGGCGTCACTTCCCCATCCTGACATCGTTTGAAAACAACTTACACCACTACCACCGCACTGTTACCGATTATGAGAGACGCTTGTGAGTACCAGAAACCCCAAATAATGCGGATAGTTACGAACCTGTCCGAACTTGGGGATCGCTCCAGCGGGAGGAGGAGCAGGGTTAACAGGTCCAGGGCCAGGGCCAGGAGCGGGGCTCGGACCAGGAGGGATGATAATAGGCGTGATATTCGGGTTCGAGCCTGGTTGGGTCAGCGTGACAGGTACAGAGTCACAGCGGGGTTCGAGCTGGCCGTTTCCACACACAGGCCAGGGAGGAGTGACGATTGGCATCGCGATAGTTTGGACTGGCTTGTTAGTCAGAGTGGAAGGCGCGTTGCACTCCCTGATCATAGTGGCTGAGGAAGGCCCGCTCTGGATAGGGTTGCAGCCTGGAAGTTCTCGGAGGTCTGTGGGCGGGGACAGTGAGCGAGTAGTGGTGGGGGAGAAGAGGGGAAAGGCGACTTACAGGTCCCTTCGACCACTTCGGGAACCTTTGCGAATTGCTTGCATTTGTTCATCGCGTCTGTGCCTTGGACGGTTAAGACCTTGCAGTCGGTGGGGATGCCATTCCCATTCGTGCAGGTATCCATCGCTCGCTGGAGTGAATCGCCTTCCCAACCGAACACGTAGTCAGCGTGTTGACCGTATCCAGTTCTGTTAAAGATGGGCCGTCAGAAACTGAATGTATGGTGGAGAACGAGGCTTACGGGTCACCCATACTCCAGAGGAAGGGTTGGCCAGAGGCGGGCCAAAGGGATCGATCGTTGAAAGGTCGGGTATCCCAGACGATCTCGATGAAGAGCAAAGGAAGACGAACGGGGTGGGACGAAGGGCAGCTGGTACCAAAGAATCCTCCGTTGGGCCAAGCAACGTGGCTCGAGTGATCAGGAGGATCGAGCGTCTTCCCGTCCCAGCATCTTCGGAGTCGTATCAGTCAGTTCAGACCAGCGAGAGATCCGGAAAATTCAGGGACGTACCCGGGGAAGTACAAATTGGAACGAATACCGCCAGAACAAGGTTGGTTCGGGAACGCCATGCTATCAGGAGCGTCACCTGGTACACCGTTTCCGAGACTGTTGCCCTGGAAGCAACGCATCGTGGTCGCCTTCAAGGAAGGAGAGTTCGATGGAATACCAGCGGCGCTACGCCTCATAGGGTCGCCGACAATCATGCGGAATCCCTGTACATGATGGAATGAGTCGAGTCGTGGCGACAAAGTGAAAGGGCGTACAGGACGGAACGCGGTGGTTCTAGCGTTGTTGGGAGGCTGGAAGTAGTACACCGTCATTCCACCGTCTTGAAGACCAGGTCCAGTGTTGTGGTTTGCCATTTGGGGGACCTGTGATCCAGAGGTCAGCGATCCAGCTTGGCCCGAGAGAGATATGGAAAAATAGACAAACTCGGATGTAGCTACCGTTGGGGTGTTTGAAGAACATGACGGCGGTCCAGTAATTGGACTTGTCCTCAACGAATCGACAAGTCGTGCAGGTCGCAATCTTTGAAATGTCGTTGTTCAAATCCATGGAGATGTTGAATCTGTAGATAATTCGTTGAGAGGGTTCTCCAGTGATGAGCAGGCGATTTACGCATTCTGAGATTGGCGACGTTAGAGATGAGCTCTTCGATAGATGATGGAGACTTACTCCTCCGATGATCTGGTGAAGATGCGGTGACACTTGTCCTGAGGTAACCAACCTAGGATGGATGTCATTGTCGACTGCGAGTCCTAGAAGAGGAAGAGACGTACGGGTCAAGCCGTTCTGTGACAAGCTGAGAACAAGGGAAACGAATGAGCGCGAGCACCTGAGGTGCTGCAACGACAAGACTCGCGAGAGCTTTCCACCACATGATGTTAACTCGAGAGAGGCTACCTCAGTGAGTACTGGGGAAAGGAAGGGAAAGAGACGAGGAAGGGGAATGCGTCAGGTTAAATAACGAAAGGCGTAAAAGATGCGAATGAATTAGATCTGGGTGACGAGTGAGAATAGTGCACAATACCCCATGCGACGGTGTTCTATTAAAAGAAAGAATCGCGTCTGTTAAATGTCGGATAGCGGGAACCAGGCAGGACAGAATACGCGGATGGGGAGTGATTGGTTAGACACCCGATTTGAGGTATTTAGAGCACATATTGAATGTACGTGTCCCAAGAGAAGGACTTCGCAGCGCGAGGAGCGCTCGGTAGCGTTAGCGATATAAGGATCCCCCAACCGTACCGACAGAGAACCTAGTCAAAGATCCGTAATTAGGCTCGCCCGCTGATCGCGAGTCTGGCCGTTCCAGTCGAAGTACAAACTGAGATCCTTGCAAAAACAGTTCTACAGTCCACGAGATACTGATGGTCGATGGTGCACCAGATCGTAAAAGCCAGATTCGAATAGCAACGCCAACCAGAAGCGTCAAGAAAGGCACAGAGGATCGTCAGACTTCTTCGAAGATGTATCTTCTGTAGCGTAGTTTGGAGCTTTTAGGCCGGACGAATGATTGTTGAACAGTACTGTGAAATTGGAGAACAAGCAGGGCGCAAGGCGCCAGGCGCGACGACCGCTGGCTGTGTTGATTGCACTTGTTTTGCACGTCTGACTTCGAAAGCCAAGCCGAAGGTTTGCCGGTAACCGCGTTCGAACCCGGCGTTGGCCAATGTGTTCAGGACCCTACATAGTTGTAACGGTGCGAGTGGATTGGGACGAAAAACTCGAAACCCCAGGCTCGCATTTTTCCATCTCCATAATACCGGAAGTGAACAGGTCTTAGAAGCAGAGAACGTATAATGAATTGGCCTACACTACTACACAAATCTTTACCAGATGACCGCTTACAGGCATTGAGAGAACCTTGAGAGGCGATGTCAAAAATGAGTACCCAGCGACAAGGATTTCAACTTACCAGTCATTGAGCTTCTGGCAAGTCGTACCAGACTCGCACGCACCAGCGCCACCCCAACCAGATCCACCGCACTATAAAGGTTAATTAAGGTCAGTCGTTAAGCAACTCGTCATACATTCACGTTGCGACTTACCTGACCGAACTTGGGAATACTACCAGCCGGAGGAGGAGGGTTGGGCGAAGGAGCACCAGTGGGAGCAACAGGTCCCGGAGGGATGGTGATAGGCGTAATGTGGGGGTTGGAACCAGGGTGAGTCAAAGTAACGGGAACGGAATCGCATCGAGGCTCGAGCTGGCCGTTGCCGCAGACAGGCCAGGGGGGTGTGGCGATGGGCACGGCGATGGTTTGGACGGGCTTGTTGGTGACGGTGCTCGGGGCGCTGCACTCCCTGATCATCGTCGCGGAGGCGGGTCCGCTTTGGATGGGGTTGCAGCCTGGGAGCTCTCGGAGGTCTATAAAGGGGATGGATTAGATGGAGTATAGTTGAATGGGAGAGGAAGAGACGTACAGGTTCCCTCGACTTCCTCGGGGACCTTGGCGTGTTGCTTGCACTGGTTCATGGCGTTCATGCCTTGGACAGTGAGAGTGCGGCAGTCGGTGGGGATACCGTTTTGGTTGGTGCAAGTATCCATGGCACGTTGAAGAGCGTCGCCTTCCCATCCGAACATGTAGTCTGCGTGTTGTCCGTAGCCGGTGCTGCGCGTGCAGAGTGAGCAGGTGCGATGGCTGGCATGCGGAAGGACACTTACGGATCGCCCATGGAGAAGACGAAGGGCTGACCGCTCGCAGGCCAGAGCGAGCGGTCATTGAAAGGTCGGGTATCCCACACAATTTCGAGGAAGAGAAGGGGCATGCGGACTGGGTGAGACGATGGGCAACTCGAACCGAAGAAACCACCGTTCGGCCAAGCCATGTGGCTAGCATGGTCAGGGGGATCAAGATTCTTCCCATCCCAGCATCTGAGCGATCGAGTCAGCGGCGAAGATAAAGTTAGACGAGTTGTGGATACTCACGCAGGGAAGTAGATGTTAGAGCGGATACCACCAGAGCAGGGCTGGGAGGGGAAAGCGAACGTATCGGGCGAGTCTCCTGGGACGGCGTTTCCGATGTTGTTACCTTGGAAGCAGCGGAAAGTGGTGGCCTTCATCTGAGGCGAGTTCGAAGGGATACCAGCAGCACTTCGTCGCATGGGGTCACCGACAATCATACGGAAGCCCTAGGAGGCTTGTGAGTATCGCGAGAACGACTCTCTGGAGGCACGTACAGGAGGGAAGGCAGTCACTCTGGTGTTACCAGGAGGCTGGAAGTAGTAGACAGTCATACCACCATCTTGTAAACCGGGACCAGTGTTGTGGTTGGCCATTTGGGGAACCTAATGATTTTCTCGTGAGATGGTTCCGATTGAGTGCAGTAGATGACTTACACGAATGTAACTGCCGTTCGGGTGCTTGAAGAACAAGACGGCGGTCCAATAGTTGGACTTGTTCTCGACGAAGCGGCAACTTGTGCAGGTAGCGATCTTCGAGATGTCATTGGAGATGTCCATCGTGAGGTTGAAGCTACGGGAAAGTGTAAGAGACATTGGTCTTCTCAATCGTTGATTCTTCGATCTTACGCATTCTGTTGGGGTGCGTCAGGGACTGCGATATTAATTGGAAGTGGATTTGACTTACTCCTCCGACAACTTGGTGAAGATGGGGAGAGACTTGACCTGGAGTCACCAGGCTTTGGAAAGGCGGCGTAAGTTAAATGCCATCGAGTATCCACTGTGAAAAACTCACGGATCGAGACGCTCAGTCACAAGTTGAGAGCATGGGAAGCGCAGAAGTGCGAGCACCTGAGGCACCGCAATGGTGAGCGTAGCAAGAGTCTTCCACCACATACTACTCGCAATCGTAGTCTCCTCTCGAAATTCACAGTTGAGAAACCAGAGAAACACGTAGAAAAGAGTCTTTTTATAGTTCAGAACGAAGAAAACCTTATCAGACGGCAACGTGGTTTTGTGAATCTATTATGAAGCATCGAAAGCCGTTGATTGGAGAAAGAAGAGACCAAGAAGAGATGCTGTAGAATTTTCGGATAGAGCGAACTTTAGATCCAACGCCCAGCTTCGTGAGATGTATTCTAATTGGTTCGAAGAAGCCACCAAGCCTAGAGAACGTGGTGTGACGCCAGAGGAAGACTCAGAGAAGTGTAAGCTGCGCACGTAGATAGGCTATTGCGGTCCTCGTGAAGAAGGGGCACCTGGAGGAAGGAATCGAGAAGCAGTGGGATGTACACTTTACGCGAGAGGTAGATCCGAGACTTGAAGCTTCGTTACAACTTCAATCGCCCATATCTGGGGTAAAGTCGATCCTTGGAGAAGATTTTCCAACAGTTAGACGAGGTAAATCCGCGAGACGGTACATAGCAAGATCCCAGAGGGTTGACAGTCACGAGAGCGACGAGGTTCAATCTCCAGCGTCGAACCGAGATCGCATCACAAAAAAAGTCGATTCTGGCTCTGCCCAGGCAGGTCAAATCAGGGCTTGCTCCTGCATGCCGTGAGCTGACCTGGTGAAGTCAGGTGTTTCAGGCCTGAGCCGTTTCAGAGGATGTCAAAGCAGGCGGCGGGAGCGAACTCAGTCGTGGAGTCAGCATTGGGCAGGCTGCGCTAGCCAGCTCCCATCCTGCTCTGATCCTGACCTGATCGCCGGCATCCGGCTCTAGTCGGCTCTGGCTTGGCTTTCGCGATGGCATCCTGCCTTGTCCTGAGCTGCGCAAGAGTTGGCCTGCCCAAGTGTTCTCTTTCATAAAGGCGGTACCTAAGATATTTTTTGGAACTATTGACTTACTTGAGAATTAAATACATACCTCTGACCGAAAGATAATTCGCGGTCATGACAGCAGAACTTAAAAAAGTTAAAGGCCCAAGGGTGGCAACCAGTTCCGATTCAAAGTCCGATCGGTGATCGGCGGATCACGTCGCCGTCTTAAAACAACCAACGCGACGCGTCGTTCCCCATCCCTCCCCTTTCTTCCCTTCCCCCATCATCTCCCTCACTGTGCTCACCCATCTCGGCACTGGCGCCAGCGACGAGGACAACGGATCGCTGCTCTATTTGATTGAATAATTGACAGTCGCGCGCGTTGCGCACTCGCCAGTGCTCGAGCGATGGATCTAGGTCCCAGGCGCGTTACGAGCTGCATTTTTGGGTGTGACACGACCTTCTTAGTTGGCTACACCATATAGGACGGCATTTCAGAACGTTTCAGCAAAGGCGGGATAGCTATTTGCCTCCAGTCGGTCAACAGCATTGAGCTTTCGACCGCCGAAGCTACGGGAGGGTCGCTGCGAGAAATAGTGGGGGATGTTATGGAGGAGTCTGGCAGAAGGGCCTCGTTTCCCTCAACCCTCGGGTTTTGTTACACGGACTCGTTTTGTGTCGAAGCCCTCGAGCAGTGAGTCGAGATCTGAATTTTCAAGCCTCTATTACTTTGTACGCCTTCGGTAGTTTACCCGTAATGCATTTATTTTTGATGAATGTGTGTATTCCGATGATATTTGAGATTACTACAGATTTCAGTGTACATCGGTGGTGGTATCTGCCGGGGTCCTGCTCTGGACAGGTCCTCCTGCCCAGGCCTGCTCAACCGTAGGGCAACCTGCCCAACCTCGGCAGGCTGCCCACTCCCGGCGCAGGATCCCAAACTTGCGCACTAGTTGGGCAGGTGGCCTACCCCTGGGCTGACCTGCTGGGGTTGGTCCGGCCTGTCCTTGCAGGATCCGGAATCGACTTTTTTTCTGATGCGACAGTGAGAGAAGTCCTCCTATCATTCGGGGTCGTTCCAGTAGAGGAATTGATAGAGAGTCAAAGGCAAGAAGTCGTTTCAGTGCAAAGAGGGCGGAAGAAAGATTGAGCAATGTGGCGATTCGGAAAAAGGGCACAGATTAGCTCCAGACGCTGTTGGCAAACAATGAGACGGATCATAGCGGGCCGCCCCTTCCACCTCATTCCAGCACTCCCAGCTCGACGAGCAGCGTCCACTCGTCATTTTCGAGACTTTAGAGGCGTGCCTACAGTCGTTTACCTAGCTGAGGTGCCCGTACGTTCATGGATGACTGCTGGCAAGTGGAGTGAACATGGTCATCAGGATCGGTCCATTGGGAGATGCTGTGTCTTCAGAGACACGAGACCTTCGTAACCCAGTGAGTTTGTTCGCTTTCGCCACACCTTGGGGCTCAAAAGGAGAATATCCTCGAGGTCAGCTTTACGGCCTCAGTCTCGACATCCTCAGCAAACTTTGCGGTCTGGACGGGCGAATTCATGGGCGCGAGCTTGTTACGTATTACTCAACCATCAGGCACACAGAATGGAGCCACAGAAATGCTCCAGACTCGCTTCCCTCGCGTCTGGGTAGGGTGCGTCATCCAAGGTGTCCTCGCCTCCAGCATATACGCCGCAGGAAAGGCCAGTCGCCAGACTATCCATCTCCCCGTCGTTGGGCCCATTCCTCCTTTATCTATCCGAGTCCCCGAGCGGCGCATCCATTAAGCTTTTCATTTCGTGGGCTGAGATGATGGCGTTTGGTCATGATGGCTTCTCAGTCTGGCGCAGCTGTTCCACAGGCTCAGATAGAAGAAAGTTCGTCCCCTCGCTCTGCCCGTTTGCGATAATTTTGGGTGTTGTTGTCAACAGCATGAGACGACTACTCTCAAGTCAATTCACCGGATTTCAGCATCGGGGTGGTGGCGCCGGGTGGCTCTTCCGAACACACACATGGCTGGAACTCGAGGCTTTTGTGATAATACCCACTCAGAAACCCGTCCAGTGAATGCGAGCCGAAAGGATCTTGGTCTTTTCGCTCAACGCAAGTGCGTGGTATAGATCATCAGCGATTTTTCCGTCGCCAAAGCTGAATGAACGGAAAGACGAATGTGATATGAAAGATACACGAGGTCAATCGGTGCCGTTCGAACCTCTTATGTATGTGGGTGACAGACATAAGTACGTCGACAGGCGGATCACCCTCTCTCTGGGGCTCCAGTTGGCTGACAACCAATGGACATTTAACCATTTATGGCTTAGTGGAACCACAGGAAAGGATACTGAGATGTTCACCGGATGTGAGCCAAGTAGAAAAGTCTGCCAAAATCGAGTAAAGCCTCTGGAATACTGACCTCTGACATAAGATAAGTATATGTACGCGAGTATAGCCATTTCATCTCGATACTCTTCGGGTTTGTTAACGGGTACGGAATGAAATGGGAAATGGGCGGGTGAACAAGACAGAAGATGACTGCAAAAGTCACGCCTTAACCTCGAGGTGCTGGTTTCGCGAACAGGCAAAGTGCCAAGCGATGTTCGACTGTGAAGATCGTGCCCCCGAAAGGTCGGAGAAGGTTGATACACGTTTAGTCCGGTAACTTAAGCGGAGAGAGATAGGAGACAGCATCATGCAAAGATATGATAAAATTTGGCGAAGAGCAGTAAGCGAAATGTCAAGTAAAAGGACCAAAATATGCTCGTGGGTGGTAAGGTGGTTGATAAATTGTCGCAAAAAGGAGAGAGCGATCGCTCGAGATGAGGATGAAACAAGTGATTATAACGAGAGGGAACGAGGGGGGTGGATATTAGAGCGGAAATCGACGTAGGCCACTGTGCATGGGACAAAAAGGCCTTTGGGCTCTAGAATCTAGTAATTGCTGTGTCAAAAAAGGAGATGCTGATCATAGGCCGTCTGATTATGAGGAAAATGAGGAGGACCATCGCGACAAAGACTGATCGGAAAAGTGAATGAATGGGCCATTCCGCGAGATGGGAGAGAGGAAATGAACAGAAACACGCAGGAGTGGTGAGGTTGTGAGGTCAGGAGAGAGTTCTTAGGTGGAGATAACTGTCTCTAGTCCCACCAATCTGTCCAAAAGATATCAATCCGAAACGGCGAAAAACGATCGACTGGACAGAGAGAACGGATGTCGGACTTGCTTCAGATTCTCGTGCTGAAGGACCCTGGATAATGGCTCTGGACACGTCCCCGTGTCAAAGACGGAGCGTCATCGAGGGCTGAGGCAAGCTCATGGGTGATGAAGATGGATAAAAGTCGAAAGAAATGGTGCTTGGTCCCGCGAGTGGATGCCAGTGCACAACCGCGAACGGAGAAACGAAGCACCGGTGACTGTCGTTCGGATAACTCCATGTAGTGATAACCACTTGGATCAAACATGAGTTTAAAACCTTCTTCGACGAATGATCTGTGAATGCAACGAGGCGGAGAGAGAGAGAAAGCATGCGTGATATCCAAAGTTGAAGCCAGACGCGTCTCCTTGCCTGGTGATGTCTCGCCAAGTGCGTAAGAGTGTCAAATCTAAACATAAGACCTATTGCCCTTCAAGAAAGCTGTGAGCCAGGTAAGACCGTAAGTTTCGGACCATAGCTTCCAACAACTGCTGCGGGTGGCGGCACCTCTTGTTCACGGCGAATTGTACGGATCTTGGCAGCCGGCGCACAAATAAACGAGGCAGAACGCCGTTGGAAAAGAACATAGAGGTGAGCCGGGATCCCGACGGCAGCAGTGCGACGCTCGCTCACCTGACCGAATGATATTTGTTCGCATTGGGTTGAGTCGCGAGGAACTCGAAGGTGATCGCGCCCAAAACGACTTATACAATCCAGTGGTTTGGCAACGGTATCTCGACGCTGTTGCTATACCTGTTGTTTCTGCCCTTCTCGAATTTGTTGTCGTCGTATATCAGCTATTCTGTATCGCGAAGGATGTATATGAGAGGTGTGTTCGGATACCGGACCTTGAGCGCTAATCGAAAGAAGCAGGTGTCGTGACATTAAAGAGTCCGGTGACCATGTCCCCCCCAAAAGGTGTTTGATTGCTTGACTGATTCTATAGGCGTCAAAAAGACTGCCGATGCATATGGCTTGGAGGACCCAAGCTGGAAAGCCTTCAACCACTAGACGTAATTAAGGTATAAAGGTACTCAGACAGACGTAAGTATACCTTGTGGGCTTAGCGCGAAGTTCTGAGGAGACCGGTGAATACTTTGATACCACGGGGTCGTTAACCGCCTGCCCCACTTCGATAAGGAAAGAAGCGTTGAAGTAAAATTTTCTTAACCTGGAGCCTGTCGAATTGGGGTGTTCAGGAGGGCACATGGTGAGGAATCCAAGTTTGCTTCCTCGGTGAGCGCGTCCGCGGCGATGTCGCTGAGGGCTTGAAGAGAGAAGTGAACAAGTCCTCCCCTCCTCACGTTCAGATTGTACACGCCGAGGAGGAGGGCAGTCGAGAAGCAAACGTCTTGGGAAAACACAGCCTCACCACCTCGCGCCGTGAGCCCCTGGGATTGAAGCTTCCGTTTTTAGGAGTTTCGTCAGATCCTACCGACCAAGCGCCGATATGGCGGAGGCAAAATGAGAAGATGACATTTTGTTGACTCCATTGAAATCGCAGACTAGACTCTGGCTTGATCCCCAAGAAAACACGCCTAGCGGTGAACGTTTCTAACCGAATATAAGATAGCCATGCGGGTAGTAAGTAAATACATCGAGAGTCAATATATTTTACATCGTAGAATAGATAGCAATGTGTTGAAGTGGAAGCGCTATTGTATGTGTATGCAATGTCAATGATAATGATGATGCGAATGAGGTAGATGTATGTAGTATGTGCGATGAGGCGGGACTAGAATGATATACGATAGCAAGGAAGCGACGAAAGCGAGATCGAAAGTCCACCAAACAACCAAAATATAGAGTAGACAGGGAAGGCATGGAGGTCATAAGCGAAGATGGGGAAGTAAGAACCATACGGGCATAGAGACGAGTGGCATAGACAATGAAATGACCATGGGCGCTTACTGAACGATGCCAAGGCTAGTGCGCATCGTGTCTGATTTCCAGACACCCTGACCCATACCGAGTGATGGGTGATAAGAGTAATCGGAAGTCAAGGGTTGAGGGTGATGGATGTATGGCTGTGAGCGATCGTCGCGTCGGGAATAACGGTCATGAGCAGGGGCGAGCGACGAAGGGTAGACCTGGTTGTCGTTGTAGGCGGGGTAGGTCGGGGTCGATGGGCCAGAAGGATACGACGCGATAGAGTGCGTCGAAGCAGGCGACGGTGGGGTGATAGTACCTGTCACCGAGTAGGGGTACCCGTGCGATGAGTTGGAGGAGAACGAATGTCGGGAAGAGAAGGTAACTGGGGAGGGATCTCGAGACTGTAGGTGCTGCAAGGAGCTCGAGAGGGCGGGCTGCGATACGTAGTCCTGGTGAGGGCTAGGATAAGCTGAGAACGACGGGGGTCCATTGTTTACAGGGGTGTGGCAAACGCTAGGAGGCGCTGTGTTGACGTAGCCGAAGTGCAGGGACGACGATTGGTCTTGATACGTCGTAGCCGTAGTGGGAGGATAGCCGTACTGGTTATCAGCGAGACCGGACGAGTCTGTGGTTGCAGACAAGCCATGGCTGTAAGACGAGTAGGGTGTGTGAGGAGATGATGACGCAGACGAGTATCGTGACGTTGTTTCGTGGTGGAGCTGCGCAGTGGCTGGCAGTGTCGCTTGGGCAAGGGGAGGAGGGGAATCGGGAGGAGTGAGAGCAGATGGGTAGAGCCGCGAGGTCTCTAGGGTGGGAGGAGTGAGTGGAGGAGACGGGTGGAGACTCTGCACAGGCGGCGTCGATGGCTTCGATACAGGAGATGGGGATTTTGGCCGTTCAACTGAGGCTGCCTTCACCTTGGAGCCACCCTTGGCTCGCGAACGAGTAGCAGCCCGTCGCGACCCTGGGGAAAGGTGGATACGGTAGCTGCATTAGATAGATTAGCCTCAAAATCGATGAAAAGAAACATCTCGACCACATACTGTTGTTGAAGGTTGTCTTGGCGGGAGCATCTCGTCTCACAGCCAGGGAACGGACATTTGTGGTTCCGTTCACCGGTGTGGATGCGGGTGTGACGAGCGAGGTGGCCACTGGTGGTAAATGCGCGTTCACAAGTCGGGCAAACGTGTTTTTTCTTCGGTGGAGGGGAGGTAGTTGTGCCAGAGGAGGCAGATCGTGATTTGTTGGAGGTAGCGTCAGCAGTAGAGCTCGAAGTGGTTGATGACGGTGCAGCGCTGGAAGTCGACTCGGAAAGATAATGTGTAGGGTAGGGAGAGATTTGGTGCAAAGAGGTGTGCGACTTGCTCTCGACTCGAGGCATGGCGGCGTTTGGTGATAGAAGGTTAGACGAAGGTCCTTGGGGAGTACGACATGGCCCAATACACTTCTCGAGTTATGTACTCGACGAGAAAGTTGTTTGGTGGTCCAGTCAATGTACGTAAAGTGATGTGGATCGAGATCTCCGTCGCCATTCTTTCGGGTCGGTTTCTTTATTCATTTGGAAAACAAAAAATGACAAAAAAATACATTTAATTTTCTAGGGTACGTTTGCACCCACGTGGGGTTGGCAAGGAACTGTACGACGGTCCATTTGCACTGACCACCGACTTCGCCTTGTTTCATCCTTTCGTCCTCATTTAATTTATGCAAGCGCGACGGAATGGCAAAGCAGGTGGAATGGACAATCGAATCCCGCCCGCCCATGCCCTGAGCCACCAACGAGCACAGCTGGAGAACGCACACCACTTGTCCTCCCCATGGCGCTAATTACTCCTGGAAATTCCTCCGAATTGGGCAAGGGAAGAAACCGATCAAAATCTGTGCCAACATTGGAAGGATGTAATTTTTTCACCGAGTAAGCGCACTAGACCTTTTTGGTCGTAATCCACGAGGCCCACCGACATGATTGAAGAGGCGGAAGTCGCCAGTGAAGATTTGAATCGCTCCATAAGCTCCAACAGCAACGTAGTGGACCATAGCAGTCGTTACTAGGCGCTTTGGTTAGAGACGTATTTTTTTCCTGTATGCAAAGAGCGAAAGAAATGGGGAGAGAGAAAGGAAGAAAGAAACGGCATTGTGAACAGGACGCGAGGCAACCGATATCACCAAAATAGGTATTTTCCAACATCGCCGCAGGTAGTCATGAGTGGTTAGATCGGCGTCCCGCGTTGATGGCGCCCCCTTCTATGTACTCAGTTTCTTTGTCACTGGGGTTGGCGCGAGGGTTTCCAACACTTTAGCCACTGTAGATTGACCTAAAGATTAGCGTCGCAGACAATGGAGTGCCTCTCGATGTACAAAGGTCGGCTTTACTCAGAGGCCCACCACGATATGGGTCCGAACATGCTCCGGTCCTTCCTACACGCCTTCAGTAATTTCTAGCCCCAATTTGCACAATCTCCCCACTACGTTCGATGAGTATGGCCACGAGGAGCGATTGCTGGCGCAGTCTCGTAAACTGATTACAATCCAGGATTAGATCAAGCCCGCCTACCCATCGGGAACGTGTTTTAAAATGGGGTACATCCTGGTACATCGTATCCGGTAGTCTACCTGACGCAAAAGTAACCAAGTAAGGCACCAACCTACTAAGACGCGCGGAAGGTTCCGTTCACTGAGAAATTTCCCCTCCTGTCACTCGCAGACTGCTGAAAGTTCCCCGAAGTGAATTGATTTAGGAGGGCACTTATCATTACGGTAGTTTGCGTTGATACCTTGGGATACTTTCCTATGTACCAGCTCAGTACACATTGAATAGCTTCCACCCGAGTTCCAAGGCATGACGTCGCACCTTTTTCGTACTTGCCTCCTAATATCACCGCGTGGTAAGAAACCGGTACGGTCACCGGTACAGCTTGGGACGGCGAACACCCTCCAAGTCGGCGCGTGTGGCAGATATTTGGAATATTTCCCAAATAATACGACAGAGGCGGGAGGAAACAGCGTGTTCTACACGTTTAAGAAGACGCTGGCGAGAACCATATGCGATCCACAGACCAATGGATGATTGCCGGAGCCGATTGTTTCGTCAATGTGACGACCAAGAGAGGTGGTCAGGGTCTCGGGCGAGTCGCTCCTTGCATTATGGAAACTAAGGGTTCACTCATCGACCCCGCAAGGCACCTTCGCGAGTGGCTGTCCTCCCCCGAGAGCGGAATGAGCGCCGGAAGCATGTCGATCCAGGGTCCTCGCCATCATCCATGAACTTTCCTACTACAGGCATGACTATTGCCCTCCAGGCTGTATCGACTACTCCTCAGCCTGGTGTATTGGGGTCTTCAAGTAGCGTCGCGGATGTCGCTTGGTTTTCTGGAATGCTCTCTGTGATTCTTACCTCCATCCAATCTACCTCAGTCTTGTCGCTTTCGTAATGAGGCATCGTTCAGTTTCGCAGCTTTCCACGGGAGAATGAATATTCACGGCTGTTTACGACTACATCCTCCTCGTACTTGAACTATAGGTCCGGTTCAGATTGACCGACATGCGACTTTGAAACCTAAACAGAGCTCCAAAGGTGTTCTAGCGTGGGCTTTTTCGCTGCTGTTCCCATGTCAGACTCTGTGCTGACAGACAACATCTCCACTTTACCAGCGGGAGGGTATCAGTACATAGGTACGAGGAGGCTGTGGTATTACCCCCTTGAAAGGATCTGTCCGTTGGATGAGCATACTATTGCTAGACCCTCCACATCTCAATGACCTGATACAGAGCCCTCCGAAACGTAGCTGTTGTTGTCCAGGACGGCCGACTCGAAATGAAATACGTACACAGACTTCGGAAGTATTCCACCTCGGGCATCCATAACTAGCTTTTAACGTTGTCGCTCCAAACTTCAAGGTTCACACAATCCGATGTGAAGGAGACAGGACTACAGCATCCTCACCACCGGCTTCACCAATCATGTAAGTACGAAATGGCGCCGGATGACTACCTCAGGTTGATTGGTCTACGGTCTCACTTGGTTTCTGTGGCGAATCAAGTGCCAGTTCCTTATCAGCTTTTTGGAGCCGTCATCTCCTATCTGATATGTCGTTGGGAGGCTAAAGCATACGTGAGACTTGGATTGGTTGAAATCGATGGCAGGTGAGGTGACTGCGGACAGACGGCCTTTGCGACTCGGAGGAATCGCCTTCCACATCCAACGATGTTCGCTGAACAAAAAGGGATGCTGTTAAGTGGTCTTACGAATCAATCATACACGCTGATTGCTTTGGGTAAGGATATCTTTGACCTGGTCGTAATAGGTGGTCAGATTTCGAACCCCAACTGTGACGATTGCTAGACACGCTGAATGAACGCTTGCATCGAATTGACCTCTGCATAATCGCGGTGGACGCCGTTTGTTTCCGACTTCAAAGAAAAAGGTATACCGGTTTGGATTGCTTTCTTTGAATCCAAAGATGCAAGTTTTCGATGAGGTGCGGTCATCAGAAATATCATGATTGAACTAAAATGTACTCTACCCAGACCCCAGTTCTTCTCCGATCAAGCAACGACGAGGTACGGGGTACGACCTTCTCGAGGATTTGCGATTTCGGACGATATCCAAATGCGACTATCGTTTCCTGCCGCCGGTGGACCCTGAGCGAGGACTCGTTACCGTAGGCAACGCCATGAGCTCACCTCTCCTCGGTATTCACAACATCATAGGGATCACAGGAGATTAGAAATCCGATAACGATTATGCGAGTATCTTATCGTCCGAACGCCTTTGAGGAGTCTCTAGATACCAGATAAGGATTCATATGTCTCCTCATTGCAGGTCACGACAAAAGCTTGCCGCGGCTCTATCACACATCTCGACTACCCATGAAAATCGAAGGTCAGGACTCAGAATTGAGTTCGTCCCATGACTGAACGGCAGTCCTCACACCTACGGAACTCGGGCCATACCCCTACCTGGGTCCCATTGGAATGCAGCTTGAACAACGCGGAGCATGTCAAACGTTTGGACTTCGTCGTGTCTAAAGTGGCGATTGGTGAGGGAAGGCGATGTCTCAACTTAGGTTTAGGAGAGACTCTTGACATTTCTCCTAATGCGCACGTCCGATGGCGGAACGTTCGATTGGAGACGACGTGGGGAATGCGATGGCATGATACCAATTCAGTGGAGCACCATCGCCGCAGTAAACAGGCAATAGTACTACTTATCGCGTTATCTGAGTACTCCTTTGTGTGGTTCCTGTGTTTCTCAGCCATCGATTGGCTGGAGAACACTTCGGAATTGGAATGTCCGGCAGTCTGTCGGTCCGGGCGTCCGGCAGTCTGGCAAGGGGATGAATGGAGAAGAAAATGGGAGAGACGCCAGGGGACTTACGAGTTGGGAGTAGGTATGAGGTTTCCGAGCCGTTATTTAGAGACAGAGGCAAACATAGGCTTGGAAGGCGCTAGATTAGTCAGCACGGATTCAATCAGCGAAGTCGAGGTTCCCTGGATCCAGAGCGTACACTAGAAGCAAGGCTTGCTCGGTATGCCTACTTGGGCCTGTCCGACATATTTCTAACGGGACTAAGGCCTCCCAGTCGATGTTGGATCGAATTTACCTGGAGCGTGCGGGGACTGACTAATCAACCAGCCGTCCACGGCACGCGATCATGCCGCAAGCGCTAAAACCGAGGGGTAGCGCGTACCGGTGGGCTAAATGCGTTCGGATTCTGGTATACTAAGCGCTGGGTATACGTAGGGTAGCCTTCAGACTAAGTAGACGGCCCAGCCGCAGCGAAAAACGTTGGAAACGTTGCTAGACCGTGGCCGGACGGCCGGACTTACGGACGCTGCCGCTCTGCCGGACCTTCGGCAACGCCGGACATTCCAACTCAGTGGTATTCTGATTGGCTGGAGACACCTCAGTCTGGCGTTAGGAATGCGACATCGTTTGGTAGGGTTAGGTCGACCGTCTGTTTGTTTATATTCCTGATTTCATGGTGCGAAGAGCTGTTCAATGTCATCCAAGAATAAAGATCACAAACAGCGCTCACATAGACCTCTCTTGTCTCGAACTCTGGCTCCAGTCTTTTTAGGCTTCTGACAGGTCTGATTTACCCCGGTCAGGCAGCGTCGTCTATCCTCGAGGCTGTATGGGGTTGCCTCTCTGTATACCGCGGTATTAGGAGTACCTGATAGCTCCTCGGAGCCGCCTAAAGGTCAATGTGCTATCCTCACAACCCAGCAAACTCAGCAAAGCGCCAAATCTTCACGGAAAGTGGGGTGGGCGCTTATTTCGAATGCGCGGTCTTGGCCCTCGGATCGTTCGGCGATATTCGGACTTCCAAACGCCCCCTGCAAACAAGGGTAAGCACGAGCCCCGACAGACACGGGGTTGGCGACTTGTCTCTCGCTTTCATGCCGTCCTTTACCTCACCTTGTTTCACAGGACACCCACAGCGCTATGCTACACTTTCCTGGACGGCATATACCTTTTGGATCTTTGGCTATGGCTGGACTTCTCATCTTCCCGTGCTTGAGCAGACTGCGTTCAATTTAGCTTCCAGTCCGGCAATGGTGCGGGATTGGAGTCACGCCGACCACGGAACCCATAGGGTGGAGAGCTTCTACCAAGTTCGAACTTCACGGGGCCTTCTGTGATAACTGCATCATCACTCCACAACGTAAGTCGGGTTCGATTAGTATTTCCGACGAAACGCGATTGGTCTCTCCAACGCTCAAGGCCTGCAGCTTGGATGAATTATCGGCGAATGGGCCTCTTCCTTCATGAGTTCTCTATCATGGGCATGGCTTCTCTGTATACGCGCTACCACTTCTCGTGGTTCTTCATGAGGATCTTATGACTAGAGGCTATCTCGCGTGGCTTTATCTCGAAGCGTCGCCCTTGCTCTCGTTCTCGTGCTGACTTCCGAGATGTTCTGGTCATTGGCGCTAGCGCTAGCAACTGCAATTGGCCCTGCGAACGGGCTCCTAAGGTTTCCCTGCTCACAACTGGTTACACAACGTCTTGACCCGTACGTCTCCTCTCATATTATATCCAAGTAATTATCTGACAAATCTTCCGTAGCCTGGTAACGCCTGGCGAAGTTTCGCCCCATATTCACCAAATCGTTGGAGGAGTAAGTCGATTTTTTAAAAAGCGAATTAACACAATAAATCTGACATGGCGCCTAGAATGCGTACGTTTGACGATCGTAATCTCGAGAGGCGGGCGTCGTTGATCCTGTCCTGTAGTTTCAACATCAGCATGGATCCTAATGTCGACATCGCCGAGACGTCGACCTGTACCACCTGTCGTTTCAAGGAGGACAAGTCCAACTACTGGACGGCAGTTATGTACTTCAAACACCCTAACGGAAGCTTCATTCGAGTGAGCAAAGCCTTGATCCTTATCTTTGACATTCAAGCCAACGTCAAAACAGGTTCCTCAAGCAGCGAACGGAGGAACAGGACGGCCTAACGGCGGTATGACTATCTACTACATTCAGCCACCTGGAAACCTCCCTGTTACGGCGTTCCGCAAGGTATGTGGTGGCGGTAAATAGTATTTTGCGACGGTGGCTAACTGTCGATGAAGGGCTTTAGGATGATTACTGGGAACCCTATGATCCGAAACTACGATCACGTTCGCGCCGACAGCCCTGAAGCGTATGCCTTGACGTACAGATGCTGGGACGACGTGCCATTCAGCGATTGGGCGTACGCACCGGGCGTTGGTCCGTTCGAGAGCATTCACCTTCCGAAGAAGAAATGCCTCGGTGGTATCCGAGCGAATATCTTCTTCCCATCGTGAGTGCTCAGTGTGGTCTAACTGTATTCGAACCTCAATTCCAACTGTAATAGGTGCTGGGATGGAGTGAACTTGGATAGTCCAGATCACCATGTGCGTTTGCCTCTTATTATCCTTATTTTGTAGATCACTGACGCCGCTACGGATCTAGAGCCACGTTGCGTTCCTCCGGGCAAAGGTCCCTCCCCAAGGGATCTTCTATCTCAGCGGCGAATGCCCAGAAACCCATCCCGTTCGTATCCCCCTTCTCTTTATGGAGACCGTTTGGGATACTCGAGCCTTCAACCATCTGTGGGAGGAAGACGGGAGCGGGAACCAGCCTTTCGTTCTCAGCATGGGTGATCCGTGAGTCATTGATTCCGTCCTCATCGTCGACGATACTGATCAGAGTTATTTGTCCACATAAGAACTGGATACGGACACCACGGAGACTACGTGTTCGGCTGGGAAGGTGATTCGCTGCAGAGGGCGATGGACCATTGCTTAGATCGGGGCGACTTCCCCGATGACTGCAAGGAGCTCACGACTATCTCCGATGACGAAATGAACCAGTGTGTTCAAGAACCTGTCGTAGACGAAGTGACTGAAGGCTGTAAGCGTTCACTTAATTGGTTCTGTCTTTTACCTTCTGACGCTCAGCTAAACCCTTTAGATCTTGCGAGTCTCCCTGGATGCAATCCCATCCAAGAAGGTCCTGGCCCTGCAACTCTGGTTCCAAATTGCGACGCCGTCTCGACGACGGGATTCGCGCGACCCACCCCCAATTAGACCTTTGTCGGTACTCATGTTCGTTGCCAACAATGTTTCCTATATACTCTCAATAGTAAATGCGATTTTCGTTTCAACTGCCTCCACGTCCCCATTTCGGATGGGCGCTAAGATCGTTTGCTTTGTGCTTGCGTGTGAAAAAGATCTTGACCCCATAAAGATGAATCGTCACCTTGGCTTGACTTTTCGAGGAGAGCAACCGCGGTGTTGACCTGTATCCACGGAACGGCCAAGCTGGGACGCGCCTCGATCCATTATAGTTCTACGGGCAAGAAACGGATGCGCTTCCCTCCACAGAGCAAGGGCTTTCTTTATTTCCATCGCGAAAGCTCACATCCTGCCTCGCGCTCCATACGGTTCCGTCTCGTGGACGAGAATAATCTGGCTGGGTTCTCGACAGGGTCTGACCTCCTTGACAACACAGGCGCTGCTCCTTGGTGCATACCGCTACTCGCAGCAATGCACAAGCCGTCGTACTCGCCATTGTACCAATTGCTTCTCGCGACGGGACTGCACTCGCTGGAACAGGAGAAAAAGATCTATGAAATGACAGAGCCGGGCTTCCTTTGGCCAGTACGGGGAGTGTAATCATCGAGGATGTCACGGCGCCGTGGCTCCTCGACTCATCGATTAACAACGCCTCGAGGGGCATCCTGGAGGACGATAGAATTTATACCGCTCGGTTCGCCCGCACGTTCTGCACGCAGATGCATGGAGGCGAACATAGCAGGTCTCCTTATTCAGGTCAGTGCGTCGAGCGATATCATGCTTCGAAATGGATAGTACAGTTCATCCCGCATCCAAACCGCAGCTGGTTCTACGACTGATCAAGTATCTCGTTCCCGCCATGTCCCCATTTTCCGGACGAACGATATGCCTAGAAGCTGTGAGCAACAGGTTACTGGTGTTCAAACTAAGCGCGACATACCAAGACGATGTCTCCAGCGCTGTAGCGGTGGCGTAGACGGAGAACTTAACAGCCTTCGCAAAAGCGGCGAGAACCTTTGGCTTCCTTTCTTGCTTCTCGAACTGTTTCTGGCCGAAGCGGGGTGATACGACCTTCGGAATCATGATCAATCATGGCTATTTGCAGTCATACGATGGAAGTGAGCTATGAAATGGGAATGTAGGCGAAAGGGCAGGGCGAAACCTACCTAGAACTGCGTAGCTTACGCTCGTGGAGAGGTTAGAGTCGCACTCGGTAGGTGCTTAGTGGACGGTCGGATGATCTCAAAGTCTTCATCCAGGTGTCGAGACACGGAGAGCAGATCGACTTATCGTAGGACTGTGCAAGTAGCACCATGCAATGCTCATACTTTTGAATGTAGCTAAAGCAACACTGGTCACCTTCCTTATCTGTTTTCGCATGACTTGCGCACATCGAGCAGCGACTGAGGCGCTCGACTTCCGGATCATTTCGTCCACACAGGTGGATTACCTTCTGGGCGACTATGGGTCGCTGTTAGAGCCACAGCGAAGAGTCGAGTTTCCTTGATTCTCAACGATCGGGTCCCCTAACATTCACATATCCTATTCTTCTCGTATATACTCACATTCACAGAAGCCCGCATGAGAAGAAGTCGCGATCCTCACCAAGCGGGCGTACAGGGTGCCTGAACCGAGTCATGCCAAACAAAGCCATAGGGAGGGGAGGGGATAAAACGATGGAGAGTAGGTGGTTTCGAATAGAAAAGTATAGGTATATATTTTACATCGTGGATTTCCACGATCTGAAAGGTACCTCTTCACGCATGAAGAGGTACTGCTCTCCTCAACGCTGAATATATTGGATAATAGCCCTGGGGCCGAAACCAATGTTTACCCGTGAGAGTCGGCATCAGCGGCTATCAAATCGACCGCCACGAAGACGGCTGAGGGTTAGCGCTCTCAATCCTCGACCCTCACTTCGGTTACTCCCACTTCTATATAGTTTTACCACCTGTATCATCGCCTGTCTATATCTCTACAGAAGTAGGGAGGGTCTCCTGGCGCTATTGAAGAAGGCCATCGCAAACAACAACGAAGCGAGACGAAGGCAAGGGGATTACGAAGAAGCTGCTCGATGCTCCAAGTTTTTCCAGAACTTCGGGATGAGGGCTGTCTGGTGAGCGAATCGGCGAATTAGATGTTGAGCGCTGTTACTCATAGACGGCCCTTGTCATCCCACAGCAATGGTTGGAGGCGGGCCGTCTCGTGCTTCGCGTCTTCTGACAGAGGAAGCTTGATGAGGCATTTCAGGAGAAACAGTATAAGGACGGTAAGTCATTCATGGTGAATCTTGTAAAGGAGATCCTTGATTTAGGTATGCTCAGAGGATTGCTGTTTGTAGCCACGGCGTTGAGCCTGCGAGGCCACGCTTTGCTCCGAATTCCTTGCGCACAGCTGGTGACTGAGCGCTTCGATCCGTGAGTGCGATCCTCAGGTCCAGCTACCCACCCCAGACGAATTTCCTCCTCGCAGACTAGTAACTCCCGGACAGGTGTCCCCTCATGTACACCAAATCGTCGGTGGAGTAGGTACTCTCCCCTTCATCTCGTTCACGCCTGTGCTGACTCTCTGTCCTTCAGAATGCGTACGTCTTTCGGAAGGTCGACGCAACACGCTTCTTCGTTCCCTGATACCAGATACTTTCCATAGATTCAATCTCACGATGGACCCCGACTTGGATATTGAAAATGTCGCCACATGCACGACCTGTCGATTCAAGGAGGACAAATCCAATTACTGGACCGCCGTGATGTATTTCAAGCACGCCAACGGTTCCTTCATGCGCGTTCCCCAAATCGCCAATCACTTCACCGGGAATCCGGACGGTGGGATGACTGTATACTATATCCAGCCCCCGGACAATAGCCCGGTTACTGCGTTCCCTAAGGCGTGTCTTTTCGCTCGACGCTTCGCGTTTATCGTGGACTAACGGTCTGCGATAGGGCTTCCGAATGATTACAGGCGATCCCATGATTCGAAAACAGAAGCACGGCGATGTCAGCCCAGATTCATGGGCGTTGACCTTCAGGTGTTGGGAGAACCTCGAGCCGTTCGACCCGTCGAACCTTCCGAACGCTGCACCCGGTTCGCCCGTCGATACCTTTGCGCTTCCCAATAGGCCTTGCCACGGCGGTATTCGCTCGAATATATTCTTCCCATCGTAAGTCCTAGACGTAGCTCATTCATTGAGATCCTGCTAACTGCTTCGTTCCAGGTGCTGGGATGAACATCGATAGCCCTGACCACAAGGTGAGCGAACACTGGCTGGCGAATGTGCTTGACTGATTCATCTGTTTCCAGAGCCACGTAGCCTTCCTCGAGGGCGATGTCGGAGCAGACGGAATCTATCAGTGGAACAGTACCTGTCCCAGCACACATCCTGTCCGAGTCCCTTTGGTCTTCTACGAGATCGTCTGGGATACTCGCCCGTTCAACTCGATGTGGCCTACCGATGGAACTCAGCCTTTCGTGTTGAGTATGGGCGATCCGTACGTGAAGCGTTATCTGTCCTCCTACTGCGGTCGATGATTGTTAGAACTTACTCTACTTGCTTACAGAACTGGGTATGGACACCACGGCGACTACCTCTTTGGCTGGGAAGGTGATTCGCTGCAGCGCGCGATGGATAACTGCCTTGACTACGCTGGAAGACCCGACGGGTGCAAAGAGCTCACCGTTTTGAGCGACGAGGAGATCAACAGCTGCAAGGTACCGGTTCTCGTCGATGAGGTCGTTGAAGGAGAATGTAAGTCGCTTGTGTTGTCCTGATGGTACTGTGTCGGGGAGCTGATCGTTCGCTCGTGAAGATCTTCGAGAGTTGCCGGGGTGTAATCCACTTCAGTACGGGCCTGAGTCAGCCACGATGGTTCCCAGTTGTACCGCCGTTTCTACGACGAGTCGACCTCTCGCTACCCCTGCAGCGGCGCGTGAGGCTCTCATCGAACCGGCTGTGACTGGATTCGTGTAAATTTGGGTGTGTTGACGAATCGCGTCTCGAGTATTAGGAACAATGAATGAATATGGTTCGCTTTACTTCAAACATGGTCGCTTTGACTGAGTAGTCCGCTCAGAACGCTCAGAAAGCAATAGAAAGGGCTCACGTTCAGGGAGAACGCTTAACACGCTCCTAGTCTCGCTGTAACGTCCTGCATCTTCCGTCATCGCTTCTCCAAAGCGCCCATCGCCGACTCGTCCTCACCTGCCGTTCCTCCATCAACTGGCGTTTGGTCGACGTCCCAAACCTATCGACGAGACTTCTAGAAACGATCCACCCCGAAAGAATGATCGTGGCTGGAAGGGAACCCGATTGTCGAAACGGTAAAGGATAAAGCAATCCTCCGACCTCTACCTGGAAATTGGAAGCTCCCTCGTTTGCACGCATCACACGCTGTCGCACCCCAAATGATAAATCACAGAGGACTGTCGTTCATAGTCCGTCTCAGGTCTGTGAGTCAGTGACAAGTGTGACAGCCTTCCCTCTTCGATTGTTTAAGGTCACTCTTCGAATGTTGAAGGTGAGTAGCACTCGAACAGTCTCAGGCTTTTGTTCGAAGAATCAGGGATGTGACGTCTTCGGCATGGCTCTGGAAGGTGATATGATTCTGTATCATGGTGCTTTCGACGCTTGAGCTTCACAGTGATGTGTCCCTAGTCCACCCTCGACAACCCGTCAAGAGTCGTACTCGGGCAGCTAGGCTTCGTCGTAACATCTTCCGAATGGAAGCAGGGGGTCATCTACCTAACGCTCTGGAGTATCAGATATCAAGGAAGATGCTCGTGCACGTGCTTCGACGAGAATGCGAAGATGAGACTTTCGTCGTTGCGATTGGCTTTTCTTAACTCTGGTTAATCCTGTAGGTCCCATTCAATGTTCCCATCGCTCGCAACTAGTCCGATGTGCTCTCTGGCAGCGGTGGTCTACAGCATTAGAGTCTCTGTAGCGAGAAAGTGTCGTTTAACCTTCGTGAGTAGCTGAACCGCGGAATATCATCGATTACTATCACGTTAAAGACTTCGTCGAGTGCCAGGTTCATGTACCTTCGATCACTCAAACGATTCATGGGCTCGAGGATGATTTTGGAGATCCCTACCGCCTTGAATCATTTCCATATGCTTCCGAAGTTCTTATAAATCGATGGCCGTTCGAGGGAAGGGAAATTCGTTTATTCTTTCCCCGCTGTTACTTGCCCGTCTTCCCTACTGTGTTCTCCAGAGTCAGACATGGCCACCGCAGATCTCCACGACACCGTCGGAGCTCTTCAAATTGGCTCCTTGTTCTCTACTAGTGGGCTGCGGGCCGTTAAACGGCATACAACCGAGGCCTGTTGGGACAAAATGCCCCAAAACCAACAAAAGAAAAATCCGCAACATCGAGAGTCGAACCCTCGACCTCACCAGACGTCACGTGGCCTTAAGGTGTCGAGAATTTTGGACGCGCGAAACCCCGCGCAAAAGAACCCGAGTCCCAACAGGCCTCGGAATCTTCCTCTATGGGATTCTCACGCTCCAGGCCCATATGTACTACCAGAAGTACAAAGACGATAGATGGCAGCTTAGGATGTTGGTACGTTCTCAAAGATATCGCTCTATTAGTAACACTGATACAGCTCACCAGGTTGCACTAGCTTGGTACGCAAGCTTACTTCGTCGGTTGATATGTTCACCGTAACAGGCCAATCGCCAGGCTTTTGGAACTCGGCCATATGTTCTGCGTCAGCGCCGAAATATACAAGGCTACCATAACGTATTATGGTCGGCCTGATAAACTGTTTCCTTTCCCGTTCCTTGGGGCGTCGACGGCTGTTGGTGGGGGCATCGCTTTTCTCGCCCATGTGCGTGTTTTGGAATCCGACTGTCTAGGTCTCCCACCTTATGTCTTCGCTGACACTCTCTTCGTTTCTAGTCTTTCTTTTCCGTCCGAGTGTTTAGGGCACTTCCAAGGCCGTGGAACTGCGTTGGGGCTGTTACTTTCCTCATCGCCCTCGTGCGTTTCATCGGAAGTATTATCCTCGCAGCCCGCGCCGTCAGTGCTCCAGGTCTTGAAGAGTATCGAAGAAGCGTCGGCTGGATGGCGGTCTCGCTTTTGTCGATGGGTAGTGAAGGACATGGGTCACCCATGGCTCACTCAGGTCTGACGCTCACCCATACCCACCAAAACCCATACCCATGAGTGTGGGTGTGGGTTTCCGTGGGTTTATGTGGGTGTGGGTGTGGGTCTGAAACCCATGGGTTTTGGAAGCATGGGTAGAGTGGAATTGTGAGTGATTGGAGTGCAAATAGATATTGGACATAAATATTTAACTTAATAGAGTAGATAGCAACAGAAGCATTTTTCCCATTGGCACTATCTATCTGCCCGCGGCGGGTATGCCATACCCGCCGCTCAGGACCACACCCCCAACTGCACACCTTGTTTTTGCACCTCTATTCAACCGCCATCTATTGATATCAGTAGAAATCCTAATATTATGTTCCAAAAAACATGGCCATGTTTAATGTACGACGTCGTACCATCGTCCCCCGTGGGAAAATGATGTCATCGTACATTCATCGTACCATCGTACAAAAAAAAGTAATTTTTTCGGTAAATCGTACACTTTATCGTACCAATGTACGATGATCGTACATGGTTAATACCCGAAATCGATTATTGAAACCATAATGTACGATGTCATCGTACCATCGTACATTCCCATCGTACAAGTGTACGATGCCATCGTACATGGTTTATACCCGAAAACGGTTGATCCGTTTTGTACATGCCCAAATTTAGACATTACCCCGGCAAACGTCTCCTCCTCCTCCCTCTCTTTCCAAAAAGTAATGGCCCTCCGGGCATGCCTGGACACTGTGCACCTTGGCTGGTAGACCGAACCACGTAGAAAGAGACATGACACCCAAACTCGGACTATCAGTACTAAGTATGACTTCCGGGCAAAAGGCCTGGGAGAATAAGCCTTTTAACAGTCGCACTTCCACACTACATTTCGCTTCCTCACACTCTGAAAACTTTTATATTCATAATAATCCGTCACCTACGACACATTTTGTGGCATTGATACCCTACCTAGTACGCTGCGTCCCTAATAAATGCCCAATCACCTCCTGAACAATATCTATCGTAGTGCCTCTGGACTATTATCGTTGCAGACGCTTTGTTCACGGTCCCTCCTACGCTCCCTCATACCCATTTCACCCTTCCACGACCCTCACCATACGACAGCCTCCGTCATCGGCCATCAAGCCGACTACAAGCGCTCACACCCGAAAGGGGAAGGTTTGCCTTGCCCTGTGCGACGCGTGCTGGTATTCACACCTTGAACCTTGTCCCAATTGAATGTTTCCATGGCGGTAGGATGCGCGCGTAGGCGATGTTGCGACAGAAACCAAGTCAGACCAGCTGGTAGGGTAGCACGAAGGCTAGAGTGCACGGTTAATGATTACACTTAGACGCTCGCTATGTGGATTGTTTAAAGACCTTTCCTTAGCACGACAACTACGACTCAGAAGCTAACCTGAAGTCCATCCATAAGTACTCAGGTCCACGGGTGACTCGCGCGCCGTAACCGTCTAAGCAGGGAGGTTTTAAAGCTTCTTTAAGTAGAACGCGTACTACTAACACGTTCCACTTAGGGTGATGCGCACTCGTTACTTCGGTAGTCTTTTCTAGTCAGGCGCATACCATGCCCTTCAGACAAGCTATTCAGACGCTTATTGAGACGTAATGATTACCTTACCTCCATTTGATTGAAACATTTGCTACGGGATGAGGCAGTTATACCGAGATATTCAGCCCCTCACAAATAGCAGGCAGTCACTTTGGGGACCAGCGGAGCCGGTGGAGGGATCCTTTGAAGGGCTACGTGCAATTCTGTGAAGTTGAAATTGCAGAAAATACAGATTGATTCGAATCGAGCGGGACCTTGGCGGGACCTTCATTTTAAGTTGACGGTGGGAATCGGTTTGCGTAAGGGCGGGAGAGCCGATTCGAGTGCGATGTAGTTGAGTGCAGCGACAAGTAGAATGTCGTGGTTTTTCTCCCCAAACATAGGGTAAAAACTGAGTTTCGTTTGCGACAGGCTATATGCCATCCATTCTCCATTGACTAATAGGTGTGAGAGGTTGTGAGAGGGCCTAAATGTCGATATACTAGTGTACACTTAAAAGTTTACTTCAAGACAACCGTTTCTGAACCATACCAAAGCGCCCCAAATTGCCCGTGTTTGTACTTTGAGTCTTGAGAGGCTAAGACCTTGGAAATTCTCGAATTCACAAGAAAATCTGTATGTTTTGCTTGCACACGAGTGAAAACATGAGAATACCAACCCCCAATACATCAGAGAAGACTGCACATGCCCGCCGATAAGGACGGGGGAGCCGCTTTCAACTTTACTTGACATGGTGCCCTGATGCTGGCAGGAATTTTCATCCTGATACACCTCGCGCACGCTTCCCCGACTAGAAATCGACTGTCCCAGTCGCCTGGTTCCTTGCCTCATGTGCCTGGCATTCTTCCTTAATTTCGGAAAACACCGACTTGTGCAATTTTTGCAACGGACTCAAAGTGGGCGGCGCTCGAACTTCTTTCAAGAGCTTTGAAAGAATCGCGAAAAAAAATCTGTCAGGCACACCACGATCACAGGTATAGATCATGCTCAATCGAAAGCTTGGATCTCAGATCACCGATGGATATTTAAACACAATGTTCCCCAATAGGCAATTCTCGACACCTTTTACGTGTACACACTTCAACACCTCGATTGTTTGCCAAATTTGTTCGAAACAAGTATGAGTGGTCTCTTGGTATACCCTAGCGCGTGTTCTGAGCCAAGAAATGTTTTCATTTCGCATCGAAGTGTTTTTAGAAATGAGAAGCAGAGCCATGGAACGGTGCAAAGCGAGTCTTAGAGGTATTAAAGGTGCTGCGTCGAAGGACAAACACTTCTCAGAATCCCGTGTTCGACATGACTCCTCCACCGGACTCTACTCCCCTCCTTGTGCAACTTTTCCAGCTTATACCAGGTCTGGCAGCATTGTACATGTTGCTACTCCCGGTTCTCTATCGTCCTTCGGTAGTGATCAGCCAGAGACTCGCTCGCGAGCTTCGTGGTCATCTCAACACTCATCATGCGGATTTGGTAAGTCCGCTTTCTTCTTTTGCTTTATTAACCGACTCAAGCTAACTGGGTTTCGCCCTAGGTCTCACTTAGCGAACAGGTTCAGGACGCGGATGACGATGGTTTGCCTTTGCTAATGGCAATTTCCCGTCTCCATCGCCGTTTGGCTGCTTTAGACCAAGAGCCTAACCCTGATTGGTTCGTGATCCCTGATGACGAAGTTATAGCGCACATCGTTCCTGTCACCGCTACTATGCCACCCAGTCCCGCAGTCACTGTTTCTCCTCGCAGCGGTAAAACGGTACGTTGGCCGTTTTCTCCCCCGCCCTCGAGGTCGTTGGCGATCGGACGAGACGGATACGCGGTTGGTGAAATCCCCAATCCAGCCATCTGTTTCGTAAGCGCCAACTCCTTCTCCTGTCTCGGATGTTTTGCTAATCTTCGCCTTGCGCTTTTCTAGTCACCCGGTACTCCTCGCTTTCGTCGTACTTCGCAAAACACGGGCAAGGACGCTTCGTCTTACGGATCACCCAACAAGCGCGCGCCTAAACGCAAACCGAAATCAGCGGAGTTCGTCAACGACTCACAGGAAGAAGCCGACCCTAAGAAGCAGAAAGGTAACGATGGCGCTTCGGTTCCTAGTGCTAAGGCACTGGGTAAACGAAAGGCAGTCGAGAATCCGCATACGCCTGGCGAGTCCGCTGCCTTGGTTAAGGCTGCTCGTAATATCGTGACCCTTCGTCCTGCTGGTAAGCACCTTCTTTCTTGTCAGGTCTCAGTTTCGAAACCCTCTTCTGTTCAATTTACAGGCTCTGCGAAGGCTGCGTCCAACGCTGAGGCAGGTCCTTCTGGCTCCAAGAGGACTTCGTCGGGTAGAGGTAAAGCTGCCTCGACCACTTCCTCGGTCAAGAAGTTTCCGAAGGACGAGGGCATCGTCGCGTCCCAGCTTACTGGCGTCGACCCTATCGACCTTTCCACGCCTGAGGGGCGCAAACTCTTCAACGAGCTCAACCTCTACATGGCCACTCTGACCCATACGGTACTTGGTGCGAAGGATGACAAGACAGGTACCCTCGAGACTCGTCTTCGGTCCTCTCTTCCTTCCGAGGCCTTTGTTTCTTCACAACCTCAGGAAGACGCCCGGAAGGAGCTTCCGAAAACATCCAAAGGTATGAGCACTCGTTCTTGGTAGTCCTTTGTTCCTTCGCTGATTTGTCTTTCCTTCTCTTTCAGACCTTTCAGACGACGGTCAAAAGCAGATCAAGTACACTATGCATGAGTGGACCCCCGAGCTCGTCTTGGAGGGTAACACGCGCGCTTGTATCCCCATCATTGGCGCTCGTAATATGCGATACCGAGGATGCGTACTCGATGCTCAGAACCGTCCGTCCCCAGCCTTCAAGAATTTCGCTTTTGTTTCCAACGGCCAAGACTGGTTCACTTTCGATCGAACCCAGGTGAAGGACAAGGCCAAATTCCTGGACTTCGTCCTTCCTCAGGTTCCAGTTCCCCCTTCTAGCATCCCTACTGTTCGTTCCCTTTTCTTTCCTTCCTCCTTCAGCACTAACATGTGGGATAGGTCTACTACAAATGCTACACTTGTATCGTTAAACAGCGCGAGTGCCATCCACAAATCCTTAATGGCGTCGTGAATGTGAACGCTGATCGGTGCCAGCCTTGCGCGGCTGACAGCTCTAACGTCCCTTGTCTTAACTCCATCTCAGATCCCGGTGGTCGCTTGTTCGACGAGCTCTTCGCATCGGTGGAAGACGCGCCCAACAGTAAGTGCCTTTCTCTTGTTCCGGTCCCTCCTTTCACTGACTACTACTTCCTTCAGATCTTCGTGAGCACGCTCGTCGCGTCCAGTTTCAGGCCCGCAATGTACCACACCCTTCGTCAAATGGCTGAGTCTCGAGGTTAAAGCTCTCGAGTCTGCGGCAATGGCTTGGGAGGCCGAGATGCGCTCTTTCCTGGCCCTCGTCAAGCGATCGTACAATACCCACGCTCTAGATAGCTTGGTACCCGCTGTCTTCCCTTCAGTGGACTCCCTGAACGCGTTCTTGCACAGCTCCGACCACATCGAGACGAATGCTGACAACATCCGCCCTGTCGTCACGCTTCCTTCTACCTCGGTCGACAAGAACCTCTACGGCGATACCTACTGCCGTGTTCTTGACTTGTTCAACAGCGCCCCAGCCCCTCCTGCTCCCTCTTAGCGAGCAACTCATGTACGGTCCCCACCTCTGGAACGCACGCCCCTGGTTCGGTTCCTCTCACGAATACTTCTGAGGGGTTGCTCGCATGGGAGAGCGAGTTTTCGACCTCCATCGAAAGCTCTCTTCGCAAGTTGGCCGACGTTGCTGGGGAAAAGGCAACTGAAGACGCAGCCGAACCCGTTCCCAAGGACAGTGCTCAGGCCATGGACGTCGATTCTAAGTCCCCTACTCGTCCCAGTGAATCGGGCGATATCGAGATGTGTGCCGAGGGTAAGAAGCAGATTACTTCGTCTTCTCCCTCGTCTTCTGGTTCTTCGTCTTCGTCTGGGTCCTCCTCTTCCGAATCCGACTCTGGCTCTTCCGGCGACGGCATGTCTTCCTACTCATTTTTAAACCATCTTTCTGACTGATGGGCATTGTTTTCTAGACAACGACGATGGTTCGCAGACTCGAGAACGTACTGCGAGTCCCGAAATTCCCTTCCATAGTCCGACTTCGCGCCCTTACCCGACCTTCACTGTAGTCTCCCTGTTCTCTTTTTGCTCCTGGGTCTGACTTAGTCTGTTTTCAGACCATCCCCTGACTCTGACTCCGAGGACGAGGACGCTCAGTGATCTGATAGTCTTCGTCGTCTCCTATTCATCGCCCCTTCTTCTTTCTTCATCGTCATCATTACCTTGTCTGGTGGTAGGATTTATAGGAGATCTCTCGTAGCCTCTGTCGTTGTACATTTTTTTTTACCACATTTCCCTTCATAATTTCTTTCCTTTTATTCGCTCTTCTGTATATGCCTGTCCCAAAATGAGTGCTTTTGTGTTTGACTCAAGTTCATGTGTCTAAAAGCCCCTAGACAGCTAAGTCTCGGGGTTCTTTAATGGCAGTCTCCTCGCGACCTCAAAATTCGACGATCAATTGCATCAAACGTTATCCCCAGACGAGGAATTCCCGCCGCTGAGATCGTCTGAGATATGATAAATCCGCCAAAACGCGTGTGTAACGTGCTCATAGATGCTGTGAAATGATACGCCCGATTTTTCCAGCTTTTCCACGCGTCCTTTCTTTCCTCGCTGCCGTCGTGTTCGCTGGATTCCGCTCACAGATGATATCTTCGACCCATTCAATTGACTTAGCAATGGTCGTTCCTCGTTTTCTCCGCCACAAGCCGAAGGACTTTGGACTTAGTCACGAGCGTGCAGACCCTGCCCAATGCGGCGCACGGTGACTTGGGCTTTCTTTCCTCTCGACCACCATCACGGTTCACCACACATACACCACCCCGCCGTCCTCTACATCGAAATCGCGGGAAGTGAAAACTGTCTTTGACGACGCCGATATCCAGGTAGTCTGTGATTCAGCATACAGAGCACGCAGAGAGAGGGATCAGGGGGAGGAGGTACGTCCCCATCGTGTCTAGGCATCTTTTGGATCTCCACTGTGTTCGACGCCTCCCAGGACCTATATCACCTTCCCAATGCGATGGCCCCTTAAGCAAAGCACGAACTTGGCCCAGCGTGCTCGAGTGCATCGACTCGACGTTTGCGGCCTCCAACAGCCTCCAACAGCCTCCAACCCGCCCTCCACCCGCCGGACTTTCTATAGTGGTGAGTTGCCTCAAATTGCCCATCCTATTCTCTCTTGACAAGAAACCTTCTAGCTCAGTGGGAAGTTCACGATACAGTCGCGCATCTGCATCTGGTGAGTGTCTCTTCCTTGCAGCTTGCAACGACGAAACCTAACAGAAATTCCAGAGTCTTCCCCTTGTCTGCGGCGCGGCATACAACCACAGTGGTAGCTATTCCCGGACTGGTTATCTTTTTCCTTTTGACATGTCTGCGCCAGTTGGTACTCTAGTTGTGAGAGTACGACATATGATAAATGTGATACATTTGGACGATTTCGGGTTTCTATCATTTCTAAGCGGATCTGAGCACAAAAAAGTGGGTAAAAATCGCGCTGAGAGACGATGCTAGATGACAAAATAGACGCGTCCAATTTGTCATATCTCAGACGATCTCAGCGGCGGGAATTCTCGCTGGGCGTTATCAGCTGAAATCATCAAAATACAACCTTATTCGTCGATGAAATCATTGTCTCATCAAATTTGCCAATGCCGCCGAATCACCACCGCCAACTGGCCTCTTCGCCCCATCCTACGGATTTTCACATGAAGCGCCCAACCAACAGGTTGAATGTGCCACACGGGATTATGGGCTTGATACAGGCAAAGTCGTCGGGACGTCCATTGTGATCATGGACTCGTTCGCGCTGCCCGTACAGGGCACGAAACCCGTGTCAACGCAGCCGCAGAAGCCAACGAGTACATGGTGGGATACTGTATCCAGGGAAGCGAGAAGGTACGTTCACAGTCGGCTATCATACATTCTCAGATCGATTCTCAACGGCGATCTCAAAAGGCTGGACGACTCGAGAACGCCATTGGCTGGTACCACTCACATCCAGGCTACGGATGCTGGCTATCTGAAATCGACGTCAACACCCAAATGACCACTCATCGCGGTTGCCGTATGTCTTAAGGATAGGATCGCTGGACTCGTAGCTCTGGTCAGTTCCCTGTCAGTCAGCTCCCTGGTACAACGCTAAAAACAGTGTGTAGTTCCTGCTCAATGTGGTGTCCACCATGGCGTTTTCGTAGTTTGGTCCAATATCCAACCGAAGTCTAACATCGACCATTTCGTTCCGCGCTCCATCTGACGTTGAGTTCAGTGGCTGGGGATTTTGGTATCACCCTTGAAAACCAGGTGTCGCAGATGTCCTAATCCTCGCCGAGTTGCAATGCGGACGAAGATCCTCGGACCTCCTCACACTGGTCTTCTACGCGAGGCAGACTTAGGGTTATGGGACAACTTTTCAGAACTAGGGTCCACTCAACCCTGGATCCCAACCCTGCCCTGGGCAACCACCCTGGCCTCTACCCTGGACCAGCAACCCTGCCCTGCTAGGCACCCACCCTGGCCTCCACCCTGGACGAGCAACCCTGCCCTGCTAGGCACCCACCCTGGCCTCCACCCTGGACGAGCAACCCTACCACCTGGGCACCCACCTGGACCACCCTTGTGCACTCTGCCTTACAAACTAACCCCCAGGACAAGCTGCAGACACTGCCGAGCGAAGTTCCAACCGCGCCTGGCCAGCTTCGCACCCTGCAGCCGGAGCTGCGCAGCGCGGCCTTCCAAGGATTCTGCAGCCGAACGAGGCAGCATGCTACTTCCAAGTTCCTACCACTCACCTCGGAAGGGCGCCGAGAATGCTCACCCTGATCCAATTGACCTTATAATCTCACACCACTATTAGCGATGCCCAAAAAACAACAAAATTGATTTTAATGCGATGAGATGAGATACATGTAGCATAAAAAAGAATAAAAGCGAATCAAGGAGGCAGTCGGCCAGGCGATGCTGAAGAGTCACCCCAAAGAAGGTGTAAAGACAAGAAGATAAAGGCGATGAAGGAGGCGACAAGGAAAGAAAGCGCAAACAGACGGCAAAGGTGATGGAAAAGAAAGTGAGACGGCCGACGAAGAATGAAGAGTTACGATGAATAGGCCTCGTCTGCGAGTTTCTCATATGCTGCCCAGAACTTAGGGACTGCAGCGAGGCGGCGAATGGTAGGCTTCCAGTTGCGTATGGAGTTTGGTACCCCCTTCCCACTGCGCAGATGAGACTGCCTCTCCTGGAACCACGCCTCTGCTGCTGGACTCCACTCCCCGACATTTAAGCCACTCTTTGCCCAAGCACTTGGGGGTGGCCAAAGGAAGGTGATAGACTCCTTGTGAACCACGCGGCCGTCGGTCGGTCGAGTTCGATATGCTCCAAGGATCAAATCGATCTCGTGCTCTTCAAGGCAATCGCTGACGACATCCAGTGAGCGCATTGAGCCCATCCAGGCACCGTGGTCCAAGGCTACCGCACTTGGAGGCTTCAGAGCAGCGTCCCGCTGGCTTTTGGTTGCTTTGTCGATGGCAAATCGCCAAAGCAATCCGCCGGCCTTAAGTGCGAGTGCACCGCGGCGCGTAGCCAGGAAAGCATCGTGCATTTGTTCGTACTGCTTGTAGCTCTCCGCTGGCATGGTGGTCCCCCAGGGATACTCACCGATCGTGGGGCGGGCGACGGGGCGCCGCCGAGGTTGGTGCTTCATGCTCCTGGCGATTGCGGTGGAGAATGGCAGTCCACGACTGATCATGTACCTTCCGATAGCAAGGACGCCTGGCAAACCCTCTCGGGAGACTTGGTACAGGGTAGGACCACTGACGACCAAGACGAAATACTGCTCCTCCACGATCTTGTCCTTGATACCAATCACGTATCGCTTAGCGACCTCGCCGTTGGCCTGGGTGTACGAGATCTGCCACGACTGAAGATTTAAAGGCAACGAAGGCCTCGTGGCTACCGCGGCGAGATCCCACCGAGCAGAGAGGTCGCGCAGCGGGACTTTGCCCTGCCCGATTTCAGCAACGGCATCGACGATGGAGCGGAGGTCCTTCTTGGATGCTTTGGCAGAACCTGGGTACCCAAGGCACTGCAGCGATCTGCTCTCCACTGAACCTTCAGGGAAAAACGGCGAGACATTGGGCGACGAAGATCGCACAAGGTCGTACCCCAGACGTGCAGAGATGATGGAGCCGATTTCGGGAGGGCTGTCGAGAACGGTGGAGGTGGAAGAAGGGGGGTGGACTGATGAAGAGGGTGGGCCAGGGCGGGGAGGGTCTTCGTTGCCGTAATCGCTTTCTGAATCAGGGTCAATCGTGGCCCTGGGGGGACTGGGAGCGATGCTGAGGGAGGATTCGCCGTGCGGGGAGGGCAGTGACACGTCGCTGGTGTCTGGGTCGGGGGACGCTGGGCTGAAAAAGGAATCCCAAGAGGAAATCGAAAGTTGGGGTCGCGGTTCCAAGTTCAAGGGGGTGCCGTCGTCGGTAGTTGAAATGAGATCAGCACTCCCAGCTCCTGGTTGCAGGTATTCGCACAATTCGAATTCTTCATTGATGGGGCACCAGTATCTCTGAGCAAACGGAAACGCCTCGAAGAGGGCTTTCTTTGTACTAGCATCGACAGGTCTCCGAGACCACGCTCCTCTCTCGCATTCCCATACAAAAACACTGTATGCCGAGAAGTACGGCTGCCAGGTTGCAGACTCTCCTGGTCGCATCGCGAATTCCCGAGCTTCCTTCGACAGTGTGTGGCCATTCTCCCAGCGAATCCGCATTTCGCGCTTCATCGCGAAGTAGTCCGCAGGCGATGTCCCAGGCACGTAGTCACCCTGAATGAACCCATGGCACGCCAAAGCAGGAACGATGGCCTCCTCCCCACCGAGCGACACCGTCGTGAAGCTGGGTGGTGCAGGCTGCTTGAGAAGCTGGGCGAGAAAGTCACCATAAGCCGCGGAGAGCCTGCCAGTCCAAGGCCTCCACGAAGCCACCACACGCGCAAATTCTGGGTTGGACACCTGGTACGCAGCCTCGGTCGCTGAGGGATCGGCGCCTGCGTAGATCCACAGGGGTACACCGGCTTCTGCCCAGATGTGGGCGCAGGGAACCCATCGGGAGGTTGGTGCGGTCAGGTCGATGAAGTAACCCGTCCGGTTTCCGAATCCTGAAGTCGCCCGCGGTTGACGATCTGGCTAGTTGGTGAATGGCGGCCGACCAGTGGGGTTTGTTGACGTCGAACCATTTGATCATCGGGTTGAGAGGGTGTACGTGGTTGCAGAAGTTCCAGAACGAAAAGCAGAACGATATAAAGGTGATCAGTCGAGAGAAAGCGTTTCGAGATTTGCGGATGGCCTCAATCGCATCCAGCCTTGATGTGTAGGCATCCGAATACTTGAATTCTGAAGGCTTAGAAGGTGGCTTAAGAGGGGGGAGATGGGGGAGGTGCTCCGCTAGAGTTCTCGCGATCGCCAACAAATCGATTTCTAGAGATCGCCATGTTCGGCTGATGTCAGGGTGGAGGATGTAATCGTTTTTGAAGTCGAGGGTGGTGGCGTATGGGAGGGCGTGGTTAGGGATGCACAGGGGAGACAGGTAGGTCCCCTGGTTCGCTCCAAACGACGGGGTGAAGCCGAGCCAGGGTTCCTCGTCCGATAGCCACTGAGCCGAAGCGTACTTGTTTGAAGGTCCGATGGGAGGGTCGATAACGTCGTGTCTGGCATTGACGACAAACCAATATCCCCTGAAATTAGGGTGATCAAGGTATTGGCAGGAGATGTACTTCAGATTGTTCACCCTGGCCTTGACGTCTTCGCTGTGGTATGAACCTAGAAATCGCGCTCAGCGGTTAATGCGAAGACTGAAGCAAGTCGAGTGAACGTACGGAGGGAAGGCAAGGGGTTGTCCGCAGACGGAACAAACTTGCTCGCGAGAGTCGTCTCGAAAAGAAATAGCCCGCGCTCGTCCCCATCAGCACCTGGTGGTAGCTTCGATGTGCTGGGTAGTGGCGCGCGGGATGACGGAACCCTGGACGACGAGGCCCTGGACGACATGGTGTAATCGAGAGACAGGAGGTGACTTAGGTGGCGCAGACTCAAATAACTCTGGGTGTAAAACACCACAGAATCGCGAGGTCAACGAGAAGTAGAGCTTCGAGTGTAAAACACTGCGAAGCGATCCTCTCTATGCCAGATGAGCTCCTAAGGGCATATAATGTCAGAGCGAGGTAAAAGGTGATTAGAGTAACTTACAAGAAGCGCTCGGAAACGCTCTAAGCTTGATGGGAGCGCGGTAGGTAGGTAGGTAGGTAGGTAGTGGTCGACCGCAGAGGTTGATGATCGCGAGTCTGCATACGCGACCTCCGCCTGATGCTATTTCAAACTCCGCCTTGATCGAGATGCTTCCCGCCAGCGCGCTCGCAGTCGCCTGCCCAAGGCACTCATCGAACATCCTCATCCTCTGAGGTGCTGTGCACCCAGAAAGACAAGGGTGGAAGACCCTCGGTACGGGAAGACCTACATCCTCATCCTCTGAGGTGCTGTGCACCCAGAAAGACAAGGGTGGTCCACATCTCTCTGCGGCTACCCCAGCCTCGAGCCCCAGTTCCATCGGATGTCCATGAAACTGGTCGGTGGTATCAGCAGTAGAGTGCGGTGGACTCTCCCCTTCCGCCCCGTTCTCTTCTCTATGTTGCGCGCTTTCTTTCCCTCTCTTTTCTTGCTGGACCCACACCACCCCATACCGCCCTCTGCCACTGCCCACCCACCGGCGCGCCAGTTACATGGTCGGCCCCCAGTTTAAAGGAAACTTATGGAGGTGGGTAGGCCAGAGACTTCTCGATTTTCTAGAGCCCATGTATCGACTTAGATTGCGATTGATTAATGTAACCTAGATGGCTGGCCGCTCTTTCCGCGAGCGCTTCTCTCGGGCGCCCTCAATACCCACTACATGAGCTTGCCCCTGGGGCGCGGACGCGCTCACCATTGTGGAACAGAAATGTTGTCTCCAGTATCCTCAAGTTCTTGCCCCATGAAGGGGAGCCAGCCTCCTGGAGCTCCCGCATTGAGGGACCCGCAATTCGAGCACCAGCAGTTAGTCGCAGATCTCGACTTTCTTGTCGCTTATTTCAGCGCGGCAATTGGTAATGGGACCACCAGATTTGCCACTATTTCAAAATGTAAAGTTTGAAGACCCGAAAGCGCGTGGTGGCCTTATTGGGGTCGCACTGAAAACACGAACAGGAGGTGCGGTGCGCATTAGTCCCTGCTGGTGCACCAAACCAACGTGGCTTTCGCTGATACTGTTATAAGCCCCTACCAGACTCGATCCAGCGCGCACCTTCGCATTAGTGTCTAGGAATCGCTTGGTAAGTAGCAGATCCGAGTCGGCACTGGTGCAGGCCTCTGACCTCCGGGCTGAGACCGCAGGCATTTTTACCTACAATGGGAGTAGACCGAGCACCTCCGCGACCTGCGCGCCCAGGACCTTACTCTCGCCCAAGGGAAAGAGGTCCATCACCTCCTATGGCGGCGCTACCCAGTCCCCCTTTACCTACCCGAGCACCGCCCTCCTCGTGGGTCTCTGGAACCCATCTACCGCCCTTTCCCAGTCCCCCTTCACCTACCCGAGCACCGCCGCCCTCCTCGTGCGGCTCCGCTACCCACCTAGCGCCCTTTCTCAGTCACCCTCTCTCTACCCAAACACCGCCCTCCTCGCTGGTCTCTGTAACTCACCAACCGACCTTCGCGATCCCTCCACTTTTCTTGACCCAAACACCGCCCCCCTCGCGGGTCTCTGCAACCCATCAACCGACCTTCGCGATCCCTCCATTACCGAGCAGCGCGCGCGCGGCTACTCAGTCTCCTTCGCTGCCAATCGCGCCTAGCCCAAGGAGTGCACCAAGTCTTAGCCCCGCGCCAGCCCGCGATCTCCAGCCTAGCGGCCCGCGGCAGCCTAGTGTTGTTCACACTATCAGGGAAGGTGGCCCCGAAGTGAAGACTCACTTTGCTCGGCGCCCAAATTACTCTTCTTCTTCTGAGTCAACTCCGTACCAAAAGCCATCTTTCCGAGGGCTATCGCCCTTTTTGGAGAGAAGCGATCCCTTCATTGCCTTCCGAGACGAGTTCCTCAAGAACCCCCAGGGGTACCTGGTTGAGAAGATTACTGAAACTTCAGCAACCCCCAATCCACCTGGAATCGTCGCTAGGAACAAGGAGGGCTATACGGACGTGGTCGAAGGGTTAGGTATCCAGGTTTTCCGCTTCTCTTTGAACGAGCCGGACAAACTCCAAATTGTCGAAATCCCCTACAATTTCGTGCCCGCCTTCCGCGGTTTCAAAGAAAGCCCCAAGGTGCGTGCGCCAGGGTTGTGGTTTCACCTGCGTCTGACCGCCTCTTAGGCGGAGATTCACTCCGTCTACTTCGTTATCAGCAGCCCGTTCCACTTCAGTATGGACACTCCATGTGTATGGGACTACATATCGGGTGGCCAACCCGTCCAGCAAAGGCATCCGATATGCCAAAAGGACTGGAAGTACGTACCGAAGGGAAAGGATGAGAAGAGGCCAGGAGCGTTTCAGTCTCGAAATAAGTATCGATTCAATCCTGTGTTCCTTTCGCTTTCTGGTATGTTCCCAAACCGCGTTTCTGCAGTTCCTACTAATCTTGTCGCAGATGAGGAGATGAGAAATCCCATTAGGCAGACCATCTACTACTGGGACTATGGGGCGCAGCCGGAAGTACTTTCTTCAGTAGTTATCGAGTACAGGTTTGTCAGCAATCCGTCTAAGCAATAGTTTTTTCTTTTGTATGCCTTTATATTATGCTAGCCGAAATATGACAAGTTTATTAGAACCTTCGCGCTGCGAGCAGGGTCTCTCTTGGCTGAAGATAACCGCAAGCCGCCGTGCCGGAGGGCGGCGGACTCGGAGAATCAGGCCAGACAGTCCACATAGGCAAGGGGATTGAACGTAGCGGGCGCGATACCTCTAGGTGTAAAACACCACAGAGTCAACCTATGTTGTCCGCAGATTTGTTTCGGGTGTAAAACACCACGAAACGAGCCTTCTCGCACGAGACTGCAAGAGTTCGATTTTCTTTCCCTTGTCTTAGTCAGCAGAGGTATCAATATGCCGGATGACTAAGTATGGCCCATGACCGGTGACCACGCGCGCAGCGTCCGGATCGATTCTTCAAGACCGACCACCAGCCGCTCCTGCCCAACCACCCACCTTGACCATGCTCTACTCGATGCTTTGCATCGAGTAGAGTGTAGGACTCTTTGTTCATGGTTAGTCGTCCTGAGGTGCTTAGCGCCCAGGTCGAACGATCTCCTTCCCGGTCTGCATCCAGCACTCGCCGCCCCGGGTTTCCTCCAAGCTAGGTCGGTGTATCCAGGACTCGTCGCAACCGTCTGGGCTCTAGAGAGAAAAGGCATACATTGATTGGAACGATGAAATACATATCTCAGGTGCGTATACTAGTGGTCGATTTTAGTCCACCAGGGCGGGGTCTAACCTACTTTCTGCCCTTGCCCAGGGTGGCCTTCTTAAACCGCTGATAGGTTCTTTCGCCTTGGGGGAGGGAGGGTGGCAACGCAGGCGGGAGAAAACTGGGGCTCACTCCTCCTAGTGATGCAGCTTGGCGCGCAGGCGGCACGACTGGGATGGGTTTGTCAGGATTGTGGCAGATACTCGAGGGCAGAAACTCACATGGTCTCCCTAAACCCCGCGAACCAGACGCTTCAGCGTTTTCCCGCATCCCATCAGCAGTAGAGCTCGTAGCAGAACTCTTTTGCTTGTCTTTCCGTACGAAGGGGTTGAGTAGCTGGCTGGAAAGGTCCCTGGCGGCCGAGAGGCCTGGTCGTTCAGTCGTTGGTGGTGTTAGGAATTCGCGGTGAGGGTGATTTCCAAACAAACTCGAGAACGTGGGCACGGGGTTAGGCTTCGCCTTCTTCGCCTGAGTTGAAAGTACCGAACCTCCTGAAATGAAACAACACAAAATTAGGATGAATCACTCGAGCAAAGCAGGTACTGGACTCTTGCCCTGTGTTTGTCGACTGCTTTCGGGAGACGCGCCTCGCTTTCGAGCTTCTGCAGAAAGGCGATCGTCAGACATATAGCACGCTGAAGGCGGTCTGCGACTTACGACCTCCAGCCCCAAAGGACATTGAGCCTGAGAAGGGATTATGTGCCCTAACGTCCTCTTCGGGCTCTGCACCAGGTAACCAGTTAGCCCGATGAGGAGAAATGCGAGCGCTACTCACCACTTGCGCTGGCCGGCGGATATCCTGAGGAGGCACTGCACATCGACTCGTCGCCGAGCTCGGTGTGGCCAGGTCCAAAGCCAGTGTCGCTGGTAGCATCGTAATCGTCGACGTCCATGCTGGCACTCGGAGAGCGGTGCCCTCCCTCAGATTCGCCTGCTGGGAGCAGGTTAGTCGCACCCCTTGGCCTCTGTTTCCGCGGATACTCACCTGTCCCAAGTTCCCAGTCAGACATACCAGGCGCGCCCACCAGCGGCTGGAATTCCTCCATTTGCGTGCTACCCGGTGCCTCAGTCACTTCTTTGCCCGAGGGCGAATTGGTGAGGCGGTGTTTGACCTTAGTCCGCTTAAGCTCGTACGGACCTGGGGCAGGCTGCGATTCATCGTCAGAGCTGCTCGAATCGGTGGATATCGCCTTGGCTTTTTTCTCCTTCCTGCCTTTCTTCCGCTCTTTGGCTGGGGGCGAATTGGTGAGCTAGTGTTTGACCTGAGTGCGATTAAGCTCGTACTGACCTGGGGCAATCAGCGGCGCCTCGCCAGAGCTGCTCGAGTCGCTCGAAACCTCCTTCGCCTTCTTCGCCTTCTTCGCCTTCTTCGCCCTGTTCCTCTCTTCCTTCTTCTCTTTCCCTGTGGAGAAGCGAATGTTGAGTGGTTAGCCCCGATTTCGTTTGTGTTAGCACCGACCTGGGGCAATCTGCGGCTCCTCGTCAGAGCTGCTCGAGTCGCTCGAAACCTCCTTCGCCTTTTTCGCCTTCTTTGCCTTCTTCGCCGTGGTCCTCTCTTCCTTCTTCTCTTTCACTGTGGAGAAGTGAATGTTGAGCGGTTCGTCCCGATTTCGTTTGTGTTAGCACCGACCTGGGGCAATCTGCGGCTCCTCGTCAGAGCTGCTCGAGTCGCTCGAAACCTCCTTCGCCTTTTTCGCCTTCTTTGCCTTCTTTGCCGTGGTCCTCTCTTCCTTCTTCTCTTTCACTGTGGAGAAGTGAATGTTGAGCGGTTCGTCCCGATTTCGTTTGTGTTAGCACCGACCTGGGGCAATCTGCGGCTCCTCGTCAGAGCTGCTCGAGTCGCTCGAAACCTCCTTCGCCTTTTTCGCCTTCTTTGCCTTCTTTGCCGTGGTCCTCTCTTCCTTCTTCTCTTTCACTGTGGAGAAGTGAATGTTGAGCGGTTCGTCCCGATTTCGTTTGTGTTAGCACTCACCTTGGGCAGGCTGCGACTCCTCGTCAGAGCTGCGCGAATCGACTGACATCGCTTTGGCACTCTCAGCCTTCTTCTCATCCATCTTCCGCTCCTTGCCTGCTGGAACTGCTTAATTAATTTGGTGAGCACTTCGACTCTTTCATCATTAGGCCCAAGACTCACCTGGTGATCTTTCTCCCCCGGGCTGAGAAGCGCCGGCATACGAATCGCTTATGACTTCCTTTGACTTTGAATACTTCGAAGCCTTGCGCTTCTTCGGCTTTTTACCTTCATGCGGAACCGGGTGAGCACGCTGATCTCGCGGCGCCAATTTAGCAAGTGGAATAAGAACTCACTCGTCTCAAGGTTCTGCTGCCGGGTGCTGCTGCCGACTCCTGGAGGTTCGGCACTCCGACCAGCATCCGAATCCGCGGTCACCGCCGCACCACCTTTTACTTCGCCATTTCCCTTCCTCGCCACTGTGGCACTGCCAGTGGTCCCTTCCCTGCTCTCTTGTGCAGGTTCACCTGCACCCACAACTTTCTTCCCCCGCTTTCTGCGCTTTTTCTCATCGCCGCTACTCGCGTTCGCCATCTTGTCCAAAGGAGTGTCTACCTCGAAGTCTTCATCGACATTGGTGATCAGCTCGCCTTGAATGGTGCGCGAGATCACTAATCGCAGCCATATTAGCCGATCATTCGAGGGTAAGTAAACTGCGACGCACATCTCGAAGTTTCAGTATCGAGACCGAAAAACGCGTCCAGCATGTCCTTCTTTCCTCGGGCGAGGAGAGAGAGCGTAATGTCTGCCGTATTCGCCGCGAGAAGTTGAATCACCGTGACTGGTTTGCTCTGCCGCTGGCGGTAAGCCCGCCCGATAATCTGCCACTCGTCTTGCGCTGACCACGGCTGGTCCTTTGGGGGGTTAGGGTTTAGGGGATGAATCGCTGCATTCGACAAGAAGTGCAAGGAGGTGCGCACCAGGAAGATAACGATGCTCGCCCGCGTCAGGTTTAGACCCGTGGAGCCAACCTTCGAGAAGATGAGAACCCTGTGGTTAGGGTCTTTGTTGAATTTGTCGACGATGGAAGCCCGCTGCTTGAAGGAATGGCGGCCCTGAATAATGAGGGGCTTATTCATCCCATAGAGCTTGAAGATCTAGACTGCGGTAAGTCGCAGGCAAAGGGAAGCAGTGCGCCTACTTACGTTCTGCACTAGGGCCATGCAATAAGTAAATTCCTGGAATATAATGACCTTTTTGTCCCGAGTGAACTGTGCACTTGTCGGCATGGGAGGGTATACAGCTTTCCCGTCCTCGAATGCGACTGGAGGTGCGTCATCTCTCGAGAGGTGGTGTTTCGTTATGCGGACCACTGTGTCGATTTTCGTTGACTTCTGCATTTCCCACTCCTCGAGGCTCGCGAACTTGGGAATCTTCTCGTTGGGTTTCTCTTGGGCAAAGGAAACGCTTTTGCGGTGCTCGAGGTAGAATGAGTTTGAGGTTGCGCTTCGTCCGTTGGCATCCGATGCGCTTGAGAGGAGCAGGGTGTCAGGAAGCTGGATCAGAGCGAGTGATTGAAATGCGACTCACAGCGTAATCCCTTCAGCTGAGATGGAGTCGATGATTTCGAGCTCGCGGGGGGTTAGCTTCAGAATGCCGTGGATAATCTCCAGAGGGGGAAGCTGTATCAGCGGGCAGCCGTTTGGCCCGAGGCTGCTCGCCTTCCTGCGTATGAACATGCCACAAAACTGCTTTTGCATTCTCCAGGAAGCGCTCATCTGCACTTCCCGCACTGGATCATCTTCACTCGCGAACTCCTCCCTCTCCGCTCGCGCTTTGCGAAGTGCGCTTGCGTCAGCCACCTGCTCGCGATGGGCCTCCTCAGAGAAGAAAAAGGGGAGTCCAACGAAGCGGCCCATAGCAGCGATGTCCTAAGACTGGTATCAGGGAGGGTTTCGATGCAAGTCAATGACCAACTAACCTTTGTGGACGTCTGCAGAGGTGTCGCCGTCAGTATGAGCCTCACGGTGCTGTTTTCCAGTAGTCGAAGGATTGAAGAATGCTTTGAGCCGCTATTGCGAGCCGATTGGGCTTCGTCCACCGTAACCGAAAGGTAGTCCTGGCCGTAGAGGGTGGAGGCCATCAGCGCATTGTGATGCGGCTTAGGCTCGGGGTGGTCCCATGGGAGAGAAGCAGACGACCGTTCGCTGGTGTGTAGCAATGCAAAGTCGGATAGAAGGGCCTGGGGGGTCGGTTAGCTTTCTACTCTCGCCAGTCGCCGAACATGAAACTTGCAGATTGGGATGCAATGATAATCCGCCGGTAGGCAGGGTGCTGAGCTGCTGCATACCCGTTCTCCTTCGTCCAAAAGTTATCGGTTGCAGAATCTGACGTGCTTCGTCTGTAGATGAAAATGTCGATGGACTTCGGTCGAAAATAAGTCTTGAGCTCTGTCTCTCACTGGTCGATCAGTGTTCCCGGGGCAATTATCAAGTGGGGCTTGTCAGGGACGAGGGTATGGTCCTTCAGGTATGGTCTCTCCTCTGCGAAAGTCAAGTCAGATCGGTTAATCTCTGTTCTGAAAGAACCTTACGAATGATGGGTGGGATGCGAGCCTTGCACTCTTGCCGGACCCTAAGGTCAGCGAGGAACGCCAGTGTGGCCGCGGATTGGATGGTCTTCCCCAAACCGACGTCGTCACCAAGGAGCATTCCCGTGACGTGGTCAGGCGACGAGGTTTCTTGGAAGATATGGCGGGCAATGCTATGGACACCGCATAGTTGATGCCACTGCAGCGATAGAGGTTCGACATCGGCAGAGGCCACGTTGCTGCTACCGAGGTCCCAAGTCGCGGAACCGGACTTGTGCCGGTACTCGTTGAAGAGCAGTGGTCTTCCCCTTTCAATCCGAGGCTCGCAGCCAATTGGGCTGAAAGTAGCCCAGCTTACCACTTTCACCCAGGATCCTTCCCATCGA